GAATAGCAAGGCCGATTCCAACTCTTTCACCAGGAATAGCAAGGCCGATTCCCAATTCTTTCACCCCTCATTTCAACTACAGTGACCAAAGAAACTCAATTCTATGTGCAAAATCCATCGTATCAATAGCAATGCAGTTTACTCCTCCTATATTGCGACTTAATGGGCAAGATAAGATTTGTTACAGTAAAAGCATTCTGTAACTAATCGTATATAAATCGTGAATTTTGCTGTAATAAGTAGATTGTCAGATAGTCAGATAGTCCTTGGCAGTTAGACGAACCTAACTTCTGTAATAAAGTGAAATTTGCAAGAAACTGTAGTTCTTGATTTATTGTTTTGAAGATCACTTTATCACAAGGACATGATACGCAGGTAGAAAATATCGACTGAGATCAACATCAATATTCGACTTGTCTAAACGCGTATTCTCTGTCCAAAATCAGCTGTATCTATAGTAATGCAGTTTACTCCTCCTATAGGACATCATGGACGCCTACAAAATAGCGATTGCGATCAACATCAATATTCCACGTTTCTAGATGCGTATATTCCATGTCCAAATCAATAGCGATAGAGTAGACATGCAACTCTCCTATAAGACATCATGGGCGAGTAGAAAATATCCACTGAGATCAACATCAACATTTCCCTATACTGTATGCGTATTCTGTGTCGAAAATCAATAGCTAGAAAGTATACGTACGACTCTCCTATAGGACATCATGAATATGAACGGATAGAAAATACCAATCTGCTGACATCGACAAAGATCAACATCAAGATTGGACTTCCCTATATGCGTATTCTATGTAGACAATCAATAGCAATACAGTATACTGTACAACTCTCCTCTAGGACATCATCAACGGGTAGAAAATATCTGCTGAGATCAACATCAATATTCCACTTGTCTACACGCGTATTCTATGTCCAAAATCCCCTTTATCAATAGCAATACAGTATACTGTACCTACAACTCTCTTCTAGGACATCATTAACCGATAGAAAATTGCCAAATAATACGACAAAGATCAACATCAAGATTGGACTTCCTTATATGCGTATTCTACAGTATGTAGAAAATCAATAGCGATACAGTATACTGTACGTACGACTCTCCTATACGACATCATGGACGGGTAGGAAATATCGGCTGAGATCAACATCAATATTCCACTGCTCTAGATGCGTATTCTCTATCCAAAATCCCCTTTATCAATAGCAATGCAGTATTCGTACAACTCTCCTATAGGGCATCATGGACGGGTAGGAAATATCTGCTGAGATCAACATCAATATTCCACTTCTCTACATGCGTATTCTCTGTCCAAAATCCCCTTTATCAATAGCAATGCAGTATTCGTACAACTCTCCTATAGGACATCATCAACGGGTAGAAAATATCTGCTGAGATCAACATCAATATTCCACTTCTGTAGACGCGTATTTTCTGTTCAAAATCCCCTTTATCCATAGCAATGCAGTATACTGCTCCTATACGACATCATGGACGGCTAGAAAGTATTTGCAGAGATCAACATCAATATTCCACTTCTCTACATGCGTATTCTCTATCCAAATCCCCTTTATCAATAGCAATACAGTATTCGTACAACTCTCCTATAGGACATCATCAACGGGTAGAAAATATCTGCTGAGATCAACATCAATATTCCACTTCTGTAGACGCGTATTTTCTGTCCAAAATCCCCTTTATCAATAGCAATGCAGTATACTGCTCCTATACGACATCATGGACGGCTAGATAATATCCATTACCATCAACATCAATATTCGACTTCTCTAGACGCGTATTCTCTGTCCAAAATCAACTGTATCAATAGCAATGCTGTATACTGCTCCTATACGACATCATGGACGGCTAGGAAATATCTGCTGAGATCAACAGCAATATTCCACTTCTCTAGACGTGTATTCTCTGTCCAAAATCCCCTTTATCAATAGCAATGCAGGATACTGCACCTATACGACATCATGGACGGCTAGAAAATATCGACTGAGATCAACATCAATATTCCACTTTGTCTAGGCGCGTATTCTCTGTCCAAAATCAACTGTATCTACAGTATAGCAATGCAGTATACGTACGACTCTCCTAGAAGACATCATTGACGGGATAAACTACCAATCTACTGAGATCAACATCAAGATTCCATTTCCCTACACGCGTATGTAGAAAATCGACTCTATCCAGATCAATAGACGACTCTCGGATCATATCAGACTGTAGAAACGTATTTGCGCCGTATATCCGATATGATCCCCACTCTCTGTAGTAAAAGTCTCTCGCAATAACTGTCTTCGTCAAATGGAGCACAGTCGTATATCAAGATGAATAGCGTCGATTTACATACAGTAGAATAGAGGGAAGTGATTCTGTTGATTTCGGCCGATTGGTATTTTATACCCTTCTACAGTAGATAGAAACGAAAGTCGCATCAAAGCCTTTATACATTCCAGAAAATAGACATTACTATAGTAGTACAAAGCCTTGTCCAAACCGAGGAGATTTTGCAGTGGTGTACATGATTGAAATCAAAATTTTTAGTCATAACAAAATGAATGAAATGCATCAATCGATCTGTGAATAACTCCTTTTCAAACCCAAGTCATGCAAACCTAAAGTCCAATCTTTATCATTAATACAGTAATTGATTTGTAGTCAATAGGTAGGTGTACGTGGTATGGCAGACAGTAAAAGACATTTTTCAGTCGTTTATTAATATTGCTCAATTGAAATTGGGTAAATTAGGAAATATAAAATGGGTCGTCTAACCGCTGCACTACTTGAATATTCGTGCAGTAGTACTCCATTATCCACAGGTATAAATAATTATAATAGAATTTTAAATGAAAAGGGTAATTACATTTCCTTCTGTAGTATACTACCAATACAACAAGTTTAATAGAATAGGGTATAGACAATAACTGCTCCAATGATATCACACCAGAGAGTACTCTTCACCTCCTTGATAAACATATAATAAACTCGAATAAAATATCAACAATGGAATATATTACTATCAGAACAAATCATATTTTAATAGACTACAAAGATTTTGATAAATATATGTTAGCTATGTAGGATCAAGTATATGTTTATAAATATGACAAGAGTAATAGCTTTCCAATAAATAGACTTCTAAACCATTCTTTCAATCTTTCTTCAATTCTGCTATATCGATTAGAAGGGTATATCAATAATTCTAGGTCTTGTTGACCTCTATACACATACTACTGTATGCTACCGGTATACACAAGTTGAGCTTTAAATTCTTGCAATTTACAACTCTAATTATATTATCAATACGTTTAATAAAATCGAAAGGATTAGAAAAACCAACTGCAAGCTTAGTTGCCCAGTTGAACAATAAAGCATATGGCACCTTTTAGTCACAAAAGAGAGAATTTCAACCACACTAAACGATGTAAAACATTTGACCAGAAGCATAATTCTTCATATCGATTGCAATGTCTGTCGCCAAATTACCCAACTCTAGCGGAATATTTTCATCCTAATACGTTGATGCAATCATAATAAATGCCTTTACAATGACTATATCCTACTACTATCTCTAGAACATCAATGCGCAACAGACCCAAACATTTCCCTGTGATATATCCAAATATGCCAATGAAGCGTCACTATACCTTCATTATACTTGCTTATCCAAGCAAATATGCCAAGTTCTAACAAAATGAACTACGACGAAAATACTGATTGATTGATTTTGCTAAGAATTGGCAGATATGTTTGGACAATTGCATTTTTAGAGATATATATAGCCGTTTTAGCGGCATTGTTGGCTATGTCATAGGGAAATGACTGGATCGAATGCGCAAGAAATTAATCCATAACTGGCATGGGAATAAATCTCATAAAGTACATGCTACAAAATGTAGGAAAGATATCACTTACGTTATCGTCATCGTTTGAATGTGGTAAATGGGGACTATTAAATACTCCAAAAACCTGAACGTTATCTTTAATTGCTATTCTCGATTGATTTCTAATTGCTGCCTATCAAGTTATTGTACAATGGATACGCCGATATTATTTTCACAACTAGATAATAACGCAATCCTTTTTATATACGAGTCAACACAGCGTTACAACTCATCATCCTGCTATCGATTAACCTTGAGTATGGCTTCCAAGCGGAGACCAGAGTCATCAAAGATACAAACATCCTTACCAACGATTAAAACAGAGTTTACAATCACCCCTTGACGCTCAGAACACTTTGTTACCATAGATAACATCAAGGTAAGACTGTCTAAATGTGCTTTTAGTTGCTGGGCATTTTCTGTCACCTAAACAGTGAATCAATGTTACTTTACAAGCATGCCTCAAAATATATCAATTTAATATAGCTACTAACACATCATAAACTCAGCCTAAATCAAAAAGCTAATAATATCAAGTATGCTCGCTGACCTCCTTGTATTCTCTTACAATACAATTTATAGTGATATCAATTCTATTTTGAAAATAATCTTCGATACTTTGAAATGCTTGACGAATATTTTCTTCCTTATAATACCCATTCGAAAAAAGTTGTAAGTAATACAGTTTAGACAATTATTTTAATCGACACTAAATTAATATATTAATTCTCATTAAAATACCGTCATCAATTCCATATCTTGATACAAGTATCTGTCACTAACTTCCGAAAGAGATGCATGTATGTCATCATGACAGCCGTTAGCAATAATTGCAACCTACCACCCAAACGGAAGAAACCATGTACATTTTTAAAGTGCGAAATTAAAGAAATAAATTCAACTATCGCTGACCTTTAAGCCTTTATTTATTAAACAGCTTGCAGATGCACAAATCGATGAAACCGCACTTTTTTCGCCAATTATTACACCAATTTCATAAAGGTATTCTTAAATCATCATAATACAATTGGGAATTATTAATTATAAAACTGAATGATGCTATTACCAAATTCACTAGTAGTGTTAATCTACAAACCTTTAATTATTCCTTCAAATGCATACAAGTCTTTCTTATAAGTAATCTGTTGGCAATTTTATCAACTATTAGAGATCTGTTGATTTTTCAGAATCCATTTTTAGTTGCAACGTTATTAAAATATTGGTCAAATTACCTTCCATAGCGATGGAGGACCATCAACTAGCTTAACCGTCGAATCCGTGTATTTATTCGCCAAATGCAAACATTCAGTACCGTAATCGAAATCGTAATCTGTACACTATTTTATATTTCATCCATAAGTAAATATACTTTAGTGATCTGGTAGAGAAAGTTGAAATATCAAGTAGTCAAATCTGAACAATTTTTTGCCACTAATACCTTATCATACGCTTCTTTAATAACATCATATTGGAAAGCTTGAGGCGTCTCACTAGCACGATACTGTGATCTACAATAAGGCAGTTCACAATATGTATTACCTCATTTATTTTAACACATTAATCACTCTGTACATTCTTAATATGGACTCTTGCTATTGAACAGTTGAATTCATTTGTTTTTAAAAATGTAATTATAATTTGTACCTTTGCAACGAATGATCTAAAATATTATCTTCACTAGCCTTTATCACCGTTGACACCAATGGCCGAGTGCAGCCAGCAGCCTAATACGTAGCGTAGGAAAGGAACGATTTTTAAATCTAACAAGCTCAATACCCACACGGTCAATACTACAAAAAGAGTATTAGAATAGCTCGTCACTAACTCCATAAATCATTGCTGCCATAGCGACACTTCTTAGTATATCTTCGTTAACTAGTGGACGGACAGCATCGTGAATGATTACCTGCGGTATAAATTATAAATGTATTACTTTGCGTCGATACTGCATTATAACACTGTACTCCAATTTGAGAAAATTTCCTTGTTTCCTCTACTTTTCTTGACTGATTGTATAAAATACTTTATTGTTGTACAGTGTATAATATATAAATTGATGCTGAACAGTGTATAATATATAAATTGATGCTGAACAGTGTATAATATATAAATTGATAAGCTTCTTAATCGATAATCTGTAATCGCACGCATCTCCAAAAAACATTCTAACTATTGCACGGTAGTCTCTGAAGCGGAGTATATACAGTACAAATGCAAATGCTAGCCAATTACAGCCGATACGATGGCTTGATAGTAAAGTGCATGAATGTTGCTGTACTCGTGTAATAGAAGTAAAATTGACGTCTTTTTTACAATAAAATTGATTCATAATAATAATTATTGTAACAACATTCTACTTACGACATCAGGAGGATCTGATCCATTCATTTTTAACGCCGTTAAACCATTATAAATAGATCTATGCCGAGTCTGACTGCCAGTCGCTACCACAGCACGTCGTATATTATGAGTTTTAATTAGCTATAAATATTCAGAATCATGGCCAAATTTTTATTACAATTGAAACCTAATGAATAACTATAAGGTTCTCATCCGTGTGCAATCCTTATCTAATAGTAGTCCTACAAATTTCATGATCGAAGGCGACAGATAGAAGTATAACCAACCTGCTTCGTGTATTCTACATAATCTTCTGGTACAACGATTACCACTTTCTCTATCCAAGATATCCTGTCAAAGATACCGATATCAATTTATATCAGAGAGATACCGGTAGTCTATCACACAACAATAAATGTTACGGATAACAACAGCTATTCTACTGTACTTTGTGTACTGTAATAAATCTCAAGATCTGGAATTCCCATCCTGTTATTATAACTTACTTGTCGAATGCTTCCACGGTATACATTAACAAGGGTTTGCCAGCGATTTCATAATACTGTAAATTAGATATAAAAAGCAGGCATGTTTTTAATAAAATGTATCGAAACAGATAGTAATTTATCGCCTTTAAAATTGGACAAAATGAAAGTGATAAAATGTAAAATATGTATTCAAAAATTTCAATCAGTTTCACTGTTGGTATTCAACATATCATTAGTAGTAAAATAACGTCTACACTGTAAGTTGCTAAATATTTTAAAACACGATAAAGCTAATGCAGTCTAACGTTGTTAAGACGGACTGGAATGCCCGTTTTTGTCGGATAGTAAATGGGACGTCCTACCGGTATTGATTAAACAACTACAGTACTATATGTTGTATACTCGTATATATAAAATTAGTCATGATTGATGATGGTAATTATTGGTGATCTCATCTTATGGAGACGTTACGACAACGAACAATTATCATCTGGGTTGATTGCTGCTTTATGAGGGCAAAGAACATTCAAATCAATCCTTTCAATATCGTCAAGATACTGTAGTCTAGTCTGTAGGTGCTATCAACGATGGACGCGCAACTACGAGACAAAACCGATGCCCTATTGAAGTATGTCAGCCGATAAATATCCTAGTTCGCCCTGATTGTTAGCCAAATCAATTACTCCAAGGCATTTCTTCTCACTAATCAACCTTTGGAAAGATTGACTCTTTTCTTAATGAATAATTTTCAGGCTTGATTGCTGCCTTGTAATACTAAAGAACATTCAAAGCAATCCTTCGAAGTGGCGATACGGTCTCTCCTACAGCCTATTTGAAGTAGATCGCACGATACGATTGTAGCTAACCCTGATTGTTAGCAAAATTAATTTCTCCAGTTGATTTTTATTTTTATTCATGAATTGTAGAAAAAATTGGCATCTTTGCTAACCCTGATTGTTGGCAAAATTAATTTCTCCAGTTGATTTTTATTTTTATTCATGAATTGTTGACAAGATTGGCATCTTTGCTAACCCTGATTGTTGGCAAAATTGATTTCTCCAGTTGATTTTTAATTTTATTCATGAATTGTTGAAAAGATTGGCATCTTTAGTATCTTGTTTCCTATTTGTATCATTGGTTTTAGATATTAAACCAGGTGTTATCATGTCAGGAAACAAAGGTGTAAATTAACATCCAAACCGGCCTATTTGATTTGGTCATTCAATCGGACCTTACTTCATTACGATATCCACTCCTGATGTGTCGTGTTGTCAATGCTAGACTACATCATTGACCAATACAAGAAAGGAACAAACCCAACAATAATACGACATGTACTATAGTAGCTTTGCATTGGATAACACTATTGGTGAGGTTAACACTTTGGAAATAATGTCAACGGCGTGTAATCATTGTATTTATTTACACTGTTCAAGCGCGTCTCATCAATCTATATTGCAGCTCTGGTACAATCTTTCAAGTATCCAAATCGTCTTCATTTCTATCCTAAATCACACCATATTACTACCCATAACTAGATCGCCCTGTTTTATTGGCACCAAATATCTGCCACAGTTAACAGAGCCACTCAATATGTAAAAACAATCCTATATAATCGGATAACCGATGATTGATTCAATCAGAAAGTCCATGCTATTGAATGAGTGATTGCATTAAATACTGTATTGCCTTGCACAATCGCACCTGCTTAGGAATCTGCATGGCCATTCTTGATCCCGTTCCACTTGCCGGTAAAACAGCACATATTCGAAAAGTAACATCGTTGTCATCATAGTTATTACTCATTTTGAAGGCCAAATTCTACTTTCAATTTGCCAATCAATCCAACATAAGCACTACTCCTATTCTGCTACCAGATTTCTCTACTTGACTCACTACTGTACGACTGCCTAATGCCTATTTTATACTATACTGCACAACTAGATATACCGTTGTGAAATAGGCAATGACGCAAAGCAGGGGCAGTGTCCAGTGTCCAGGTGTCCATGTAGTCAAGGACTACAGCCTACATGGACTGGACAGAAGGGTGGACACCAGACACTCTCCTCGGATGGACGGACTTTGCATACTGCTATACAGTACTGTACTCAGTAGAACAAGAGATGCGACCGAAAATGAGGAAAAACAACCAACTACTCAGTATAGATCTTCCGTGTCGTATTCATTTGAAGAACATTGATGATCTAAAGTGGCTGCTTTCAAGTAGATCTTAATAACAGGTCAAGAAATACAGTACTGTATAATGGTTCAGTGTCCAGTGTCCGGGTGTCCATGTGGTCATAGACTACAGCCTACAGGACTAGTTGTAGACCATACCTGGAATGGACAGAACAGTGGACACCAGCCACTCTCCTCGGATGGACGGACTTTCCATACTGCTGTACTGTCACTACTCAGTAGAACAAGAGATGCGACCGAAAATGAGGAAAAATAACCAACTACTCAGTAATGCAGTATAAATCTTCCGTGTCGTATTCATTTGAAGGACATCGATGATCTAAAGTGGCTGCTTTCAAGCAGATCTTAGTAACAGGTAAAGAAATCCAGTACAGTATAATGGTTCAGTGTCCAGGTGTCCAACTGTCCATGTGGTCAAGGACTACAGGACTAACTGTAGACCATACCTGGATTGGACAGGACAGTGGACACCAGCCACTCTCCTCGGATGGACGGACTTTCCATACTGCTGTACAGTGTACAGTACTCAGTAGAACAAGAGATGCGACCGAAAATGAGGAGAAATAACCAACTACTCAGTATGGATCTTCCGTGGCGTATTCATTTGAAGGACATTGATGATCTAAAGTGACTGCTTTCAAGCAGATCTTAGTAACAGGCAAAGAAATACAGTGTAATACTACTTCATTTCGAAAAAATCAACCAATTCACAATCGACCGTCTGCATACTAAACTACTGTCATCATGGAGGCGTTTGACCCAATTTGTGGGCTAAAGTGGAGGAAATGTCTGTCCGTCCAAAGGAGTATTCAGTCCAATCCAAACCAGTGCTCGGACGTCCGGATAGGCAGATACTGTGCCTGGACTCATCGGGTCCGATCAGTCTGCTGGTCCGTTTTATTACTACTGTACCAACGAGTGTGGTAGGAAAAAACGCAGAAAAAGGCATGGCGGCTGCAGAATCCAAGGCGATTGATTTAGCTCAACTTCCGATTCCTCAATTAGAACAACTAAAATCGCAATTAGATGAGGTAAGTTAAATGACGATTTGATTGTATACAGAATGATTTAAATTGTAGCGTCAGTAGCCAAGGTTTTGCTATCGGCGGTTGAATAGACATCTTGTTTTCCGGGTCTAATCATGGATTGGAGGTAGGATGGAAAGAAGCCTAATAAGATCCATCACTACTCATCCGTCATACAGATAGAAGCATAGGATAACATCCTCCTTTTTGAAATACTGATTTATCCCAGCATATGAGGATTGAACGTACAACATAACTAGCAAAAACTACGGTGCTCTACATTCTACACGAATGACTGAAAGACTTACTGTACAATAACCGTCTTAGGACTTCTATCCAATCCTACACTTTTTCCCCCCTTTGGTTATGACCAACTACAAATTAAGATAGAGAATTGTAAGATAATTGGACAAAGTCGGTCTATAGCCAAGTTAATATAGTAAAATTACTACACAGATAAACTGTACAACATCGGAAAATAACAGTCAGTTGTAGTTCTACTCCTGCTTGGGAGCCCAGTTGTCGATAGCTCCTAACCATTTTACACAAATATTGTGTGCTTACCTGGACAAGCAACTGTAGCTTACAGAGGTGTACGATATATTGTAGTCGTACATTATTCTTCTCTTCCTTTATAAACCCCTGAAATGTTCATTTGTAGTAGGCTGACAGTAATAGTACACTAACAAATTTTAAAATTTCCTTTTGAAGGCCGAACTTTCAGCTACTTTCTCATTGATCTCAGACTAGCATTGATCCATAGGCAGCAATGGTAGTCTGCTTTATCGTCAATCACGGCTGACCATATATAATGGCACTTGTACTGAACTGCATTGAATAGGATATACAAACTCCTAAATTTATTGAATATACATTCGTTAACTAACTCATCACCTCTTGTCATGGTCCATTTCAGGAAGTGCAGATGTTTACATCATCAGTCAATCAGCTACAATTAGTACAACAAAAGTTTGTAGAATCATCGGAATGTGTCAAGAAGCTTTCAGTTGATCAATATGAAGGTTACTAGCTATCACAAATTTTGAAAGTTGATTATTTATGATAATTTGTTCTTAATGTTGCACCATTATAATCCTATGCATTGACCATCATTCTAGCCAAGGAAATTCTAGTTCCAATGACAGATTCGGTAAGAATTACTAGAAATCAACTCTAATTGTAGAAAATTGTACATGTTTATTTCTACGCTACAATCCAATCAAATTTCAACCAACTGGAATACAGTAAGGTAGCCAGACGATCACAACTACTGCATGTATACGTAGTGTACGTATATACAAGCATAGAAATGCTCCTTCTCAGCCGATTGATGCAGCAATCACATTCAATGTGATGCAATCTACAATTAGTCATAACGAAAAGCACTTTCGTAAATACTGTAATCAAGTAGTCACAAGTTGTTAAAATCTTAATAAAGGAGAATGACTATTTCACTTAATAGTTTATTGTATCCGGCCTGATATATGCTTTCACTCTCAGCTATATGTCCCTGGTGTTCTAAACAACGCTCACAGTTTACTTGTTGATATTGGCACGGGATACTTTGCAGATAAGGTATATCGCAAATTGGTGAATGAACTTTTTTCTAGTCCATGGCCATACTGTTATTTCAGTGGCCAGTTATTGTTATCTATTTTAAAATCTTATAGTTCACCAAAAATTATAACTTTGATACGATACACAGATAAAATTAATACTTTCACGACAATTTTAACTTGACGTAACTAGTATTCATTTATATCCAGAATATCAAGGAAGGAATAGAATATTTTGAACGTAAAGTGAAATTTGTTCAAGAGCAACTTGAAAAACTTCAGAAACTTGTCATGGAAAAATTTAATTTAAGACAAGGTGAAATATTGATGATGTTTAGTAAATTAGTAATATTAGCTACAATTGTTCTCATCTGTTACGATTGAAGTCATGTATAACTGACGACTATTAAATTGCTGTTTATCGATTAGCTGTAATAGAACATATGCAAATCAAAATTGAGCAACATTTAGCAGCACAAAAGTCGGGCGCGAAGGCGTAATTTCCTGTGGAACAGTTTTATCTGTGTACCAGTGATACTTGAATAAAACACTTTTTAATTTCAATATTGTTTAAGGTAAAGTAAATTACGGATATTTCACCATCCAGTTTCATAGTTAATATTATCGTATTCAAATAAAGCACTGGATCCTGAACAAAACACGATGAAAGAACATTCTAATCTCTCGTGATAAAGTTTGATGTTTAATTTAATTCGATCAACCGTTGCCATCTACTTGTTGTTCATCGTCTTATCTTCTAATTTGTGCTATATCATGAGACATCTTATTTGTTCTGTAAATATGTTAAGGAAAGCGATATTTAAAAATATACTGACCATTTTATTTGTACAGCTTAAAAGCAGGCAACTAACTCTCTTTGATAACTACAAAATGTTAATGGTCAGCAAATTCGTCAATTTTTCCTAATTTTCACTAACTGATATCAAATGCTACTCGGTTTTAGATGCAATAGTTTGTTCTGATGAATTAGACAATAGTATTCGTAGTTATTGATTCTATGTTTTACGTCTCATAGCCATTTCGCCTATGTTGGTGTAGTACATATGACCAACTAATTAACTTGAATAAAAATACTATCTGAATGATACTTGTGTATTATCAAGTTTTACGCGTATTAAATGTCACTGTCTCCTGCATGACACTTATCAAGGAACTTTTACAGCTATGGAAGGAACCAATTTGCTAAATTTAATATCTATAATCTATAACTCATTTGCGGTGTATAATTAATATTGTAGCTTACTGTAACGACTAAATGTTATTAACGTATAACACGAAGCGAATAGCGTAGGCATTAGGATATGGTATAACTTTTTCACGAACCATTTTTTACAACTCATGCAATCTTTGAGAAGCATCTAGTTATACAGTATAACAAGCGCCATGAAAAACTTCACCATTATCACATTAAATTGACCACAGGGCTATACCTCAACAAGTTTATTCTTATCCTATAGAATTATCAGCAGTGTTGACTTGATGTCAACGTAAATATGTAACGCGAAGAAAGCATTTTCATAATTTAAACCATTAGTATGAACAAATAAAATTACATTATCAACAAAGTGGTAATTGTAATTTAAAAACATCGTCTACGCTATCGATGTAATCTATGACCTTTTTGCCGCAGCATTGTAAACTACAAATAGAATTTAAAATTTATGCTTATCGGGATTAATTCAATTATAAAGTAGTAATTTTTCACTGAAATATGGGAAAATGGAGAACATTATTTTGACTGTAAAATCCAAGCACAGTAGTAAGGATTAATTATGGTTTGCAAAAGTTGCAATCCTACTGTACAACATTTCCTGTCACTAGACAGTAACGCTGAAGTTAAAAGAATGTATAACCTCCACTAGATCCACCAGTAAAGAAACCTGATTGATTTTGTCTTACGACAGCAGCCCCACCAGTTGATGCGGCTAGCTGAGCATGATTCGGCACGCATCCAGGAGGTGGAGGCTAAGCGTACAGAAAATATGTGATATCATTAAAAGATCAGCATAAAAATTAACCTCACTATAACCATTGATACAGTATCACAGTTCAACTATGCTCTGAAGCTACGATGGTAATCTTACTATAAGGTATCCACGAAAAGTATCACTGTAATAATATCAAATTTTAAATTTGTCTCTTGATATCCAGACTATATAATATAATATTATTATCGTAGCACCATACGTGAATATCTTTATAATTGTCATTTCATCAAAAGTATAAAATAACATGTTAACATGCATAAGCTTACAGGTACTACCGGAGCACTTCTGCCATCGAAACGCGCTCCAGCATCAAAAGTTCCTTCCTGAATTGGCATAACAACACTAGCAGTGCCAAATTGTTGATATTGCCCAGGTTGTTGATAATGCATTGGCGGAGGTGCATTCATATTCGGATTTGGATAATACTGCTGTAGTAGTGCAAAAATGAAAAAAAATATAATAAAATATGTGACTTTGTTGAGTTAACTTCATTCAAGATAATACTTCATGTTTACTGACGACAGAATAAATCGTCTAGCGAATAAAAATATAGTTGATTGTAACTTGTTTACATTTATGCTGTATATTTGTCTATTAAAGATCCTGTACTCATATTTAGATTTAGCGTCAATACAGATAATAATATTCTTAGTCTATAGAAACCGGAAATGCTATCACACACATCCGACTAATAACGGCATTTGTATTATTTTCATCACGTCGTAGTTTAAAGTGCTATTTTATCCTTTCAAATTTCGTTACTAACTTGTTGAGGTACTGCTTGAGGTGGACCATAGCCCGGTGCTGCATTATAAGCAGGCGGTGGAGCGCTATATGGTACTTGACCTGGTTGAGGAGCAAATTGCTGAGGCGGATGCTGTTGCGCAGTGGTATACTGCTGGGTAGGATAACTTGCTTGCTTGGGATAACCACCCGATTTCTTATCTTTGTCATAAAGTTAAATACAAAGATATCACATCAATAAAAACTGCAGTCTCGAGTCCTGTCTACTTTAGTATTGCTTGAAATCGACAGTATACTACGTAACATTTTGTATTGATATAAGCAAAAGTATAGAGTCTTATTAAAATATATCATAAAGGCACTTCTCAAATAAAGTATGAAAATACTGGAATTGAGCATATAATAAAGTATAGTATTATCTTGCTAGGTATTGATATGTAAAATAAATGAGTAATTTCTCTATATCCAGCAATCAATACCATTTAAAATTTACATAACTAGTCAATTGACTATTACACTGATCCTAAAAGGTAGGTAAGGTTAAGAGGTATCCACTGCACTGTACAATGACGTTATTTCAACTGTGAAAAATAACAATTATGATTAGCTCCGAATGCAAAAGACCTGTATACGGTAAGGTTCATTCCGTGTGTGTGTTAACCAGCGAATAGTAGTGTCTACCCACGGGCGTAAGATTCAATTATTTTTTTGGCTACGCATCTTTATCGCTTGCGATAAATGGAATAGAAATGTACAGTACTGAATATCTACTATACTTAAGTAAACAGCAAGTCTACGGTATATGAGAGGATGAAAATGACTAGGTGGCTGTCTTATTTTGGAGGCGTATACCAAAATGCATCGTCCAAATCGTGAATGTACTGTCCTAGTGTAATATGTTAATTCTTAACTGTATCAAAAGTATCGCAAAAGATCAACATCAACACACGGACAAACATTCACAAGGGGAATTTGGCTTTTACTGCTTCAATGTTATATCAGTGCCAACAACATCATCGTCATGCGAGTTTGATTAACAGCTATTTTCATATAGACGAATAACATGCAATAAGACGCCCATAAAGTAGTTGTAGTCACTATCCTACTGTAGTTCTAACATAAAAGTATCTATCAATTACAGTAAGTTCAAAAAACTGCCAAGGAGCATGATTTACAGCTCATATCAAGCCTGATATCGTGCTGACTTCACAAGCTAACGATGAGGATTGATGACATTCAATCATCTCTGTCGTACTTTATACTACTACTCAGTTTCAATAACAGTATACTGTAAAATATCAAACGCTCTCGTTAGTGGATTCCATTGCAGTTTACGAAGACTAGATTGATGAGTTTAAAAAGTATGCCGTGTCCCAGTTGTATCATTGACGTATCGAAGTGTTACTATACTTTGGTGATATCAATTTAAACTACAGGAATAACCGACATTGACCAAGAATACTACTACTGGTATCAACAGATCAAAGGGCCATAGTACGCGTATATCCTAGTCCAGATTCTCCATCAATTCTAATACAGTATTTCACTTGTATTGATTGAATACACGGGAATACGTTGTAGAACCATTACTGTCATTTACTACTGCAGAATGAAATAGTAAAATAAAACAACTAACTAAATTGAACCATTTCTGATCAGCATTCATGATCCAGCAGGAGAAAATGCAAGCCGATGAAATGACATATAGAAAATTTTCCACGATCGATGCATGAACTCAATAATAACCTTGCCTACCTTTATCACCCTTTCCCATCGTACGAGTTTGATTTTTCTTCTTCCTTCTGTTAGACTGGACTTGGTTTTGCCGTCGTTTTTATCCCGTAACGGGCTGGAAGACGTCAACACGCTTACAATGCTATGTACTGTACTGGAGCTGTGTATACTGTACACTGTACACTATAGTACTGTACTGTACTGTACAGTACAATAATTGTATTGTACAGTACACAATGGAACCGTACCCAATACTGTAAATCCGGTGTCACGAGTACAGGCAATGGTCACGTGGTCAGTGCCCAATTTGGTTCATGACGTCATTAAGAGGACGGACGGTATGGAACCTGTACAGTACTGTACTGTATCATTTCTTGAAATACAGTACTGTACTGTACACAATCATGGATATCATTCAAGATGACTGCCAAGATGAAGAGCAAGTTTATTGATCGATTGAGAAAATGAACGCAAATAGATAGAACGTTAGAGAAAATGGAGAAAAAGTAAATGCACTTGCAAGGAACAATATGCTGTATACAAAAATACAAAATGCTTCATATAGTGTACAATGTACAGTACAGCATAGTTAGAAACAATCGAAAGGATTACGAGCGACCTTGTAGCGAATAATATCTGCAATAATCCATCAGGGTTTGTACCATTTCAAACAAAGAAATTTTGTCTTGCGTACAATACCATACAGGCATGGATTTTCCAAATGCAACTTGCAAGAGAAATTCTCTTTCTACCAAGTATACGCGTAGAATAAAGTTCTACTGTACAGTCGACACGTACACTCTAATCTTGTAGTGACGAGAAGGTATTTTATTCTCAAATCTGCCGCTACTTGCAATATTAAAAAAGGATCTTATCATTCTTAAAGATAACACACATCGATTTGTTTCTAGCTCCATGATTTGAATTGCAAAGCAGTCATAACCAGTAGAGTTGATATTCTATACTAGTAATGGAATTAAATATTTCTTTATATACCTATTGTTACCATCATAAATAAAATATATAATTATTAAAGTTCAAGTATACTGTACGTCAATCGCAATTTCAACCTATTCTTGAAGTGTATACTGCAATCTATATATAAACAGAAATAAATCCATTCCAATAGTCGATGTTATGTACGATCGCTATCCCATCATCAACTGCCTTTTGAAGAGCAGAAATCTCCCATAAATTCAATTATATCACAAGTTCAAAGAACTGAGTGGTTATCCAAATAACAACTATGGTGTTGGAATAGATGGTTTAGTAACCTCCTCTTGTAGATGATACAATTGACCTAGTTGATCTTCACTGAGGCGATTAAGGTCCTGCGATGACAAATTGGATCCTATGGCATGATTTTGCTTTAATTGTACTTCTAAATGATCTGCATACATCTGCAATTTGTGCAAATATGTCCAAAGATAGCAAATCAGTGTGATACCATTATAAGTAGAAGCATAGGCAATAATCAATGTTTCTGCCATCACATTACACGAAATTCGTCCAATTCAAAGCACCTTTACATGTATCTTTATGGCAAAGTCTATCGCTATGACTTTGCACTGCAAGACACTAAGCTACATCTACAACACCAAAATAGAAAGGGACAAACCTTCCATTCTGAAAGAAACTCCTTTACATTTCCTTCATCCATAGCCATGGTTTTATGCCTTTTAAATTCATCTCTAACATACGCATTGCCAACTAGGCGAAATTCCTTTGGTAGCTGTTTGTTGACTCTTAGTACTCGTTTGTAAAGATTGAGAACTTGCCGCTTGTGCTGCTTCATGTGCCTGATACCATTTGCTGCAGACATGGCCTCAAAATACGATACCTCCTAGTAGGCTCTACTAATACTCACTAGTACTTCTATTTATTCTTCACCCACTCTTACTTGCTTAAACTGTCATACCAGTTTGATCGTACAAAGGCAGAACCTCTAAAATAGAGCGTATTCATTTATGAAATTGGCCAGAATGAATGAAATTTCTATTTTATTGGTGAATTCTTTCCAAGGCAAAATGACAAGTTTGTCAATTGCAGTTGTACAACTGTATGGTACCATCGACTACTTTAGTTTCTGCCATCCAATCTACAGTATGTATTATCGTCACTCTGTTTATTGTCGATACTACAGCATAGCTTAAGAGAAACTAGTTCTCACATATTGTAATTATTGTTGATTAGTTGTCCATTGCACAGGACTTACCTTGATCATGATCCAGCTGTCTTCAACGCTACTGCTATCGTCGTTAGCAATGATCTCCTTTTTGCAGTCGCCGTACACTACCGTAACACTCCTATAGTATTACTGTATCTAAGATGATGGACCACTACGTACTGTAGTCCAAAGGTGCATGTACTGTAAAGTAAGAAGTTACAAAAGTTGGAGTGCAAGTGGTACAGTACTGTACTGTATAGCCCACGAAGTACTGTACGCGTGTACGAGGCGTAAGACACTGACAAATTGTTTGCACTGTACACTGTACAGTGGTGTAGAAATACTGTAGTTAAATGTCTTATTTTGTTTACTGTAATAAGAGAAAGTCAGAAGATTTTAACATCAGAAAATTGTTGATAACGTGAGTACTGTATAGTTAGGCTGAATTGGGGCTTGCGGCATAGTTTACGAAGTACTGTACCGTGGTTAGTTGGGAGATTTTGCGTTAAGTAGTCCCTGGGGATTAGACCTAAGAAAGGTTCGGTTCAAACCGTTATGATCTATAGTGGGGATCTTCAAGTCCATAGTAATGGTAAAGTGATGTACAGTGTACAGTACGGTACGGTACGGCGCGGCACGGCACAGGTACAGCTACTGATCCAGCTGTTGTGTCTGCGCACTGTACTGTCATATCGTCAATCAATTTATTTATTTATTATTGTCGTCGTTCTTGCCAATAGTGGACAAGATGGCGAAGCCAGAAGTGCCCCTTGTCTTTGCTCTCATCATCATAACCATAGCTTATACTCAATGTGCGACATTCCTACCTGGCGATGAAGCAAAACCTTTTACTTTACGTACCTTAAGTGGTAAAATCGAATATATCAATGCGAAAAATTCAAGCCATTTATTACCCATGGTCTTATTTGCGTATGATCCACGATCAGCCTACATGGAAGCCATTTGGACCAAAGACAGCTCCGTTAAAGCACTCATTATGAACTCCACCAAGAGTGGAAATTACGTTTTTATGTCTTATTCAGATCATGCATTACAAGACGTACAATGGATGCAGAAAAGAGTAACAAATCAAATTGCTGATCTTTACTTATCTGGGTAATCATTTTCACTGAGTTACATACGTAGTACAATAAACTCGTACATTGTTATGTTTATATATCTACTTTACTACTGTTGTCTACTTATAAAACTACTGTACAGTATACTTCGTAATCCATGGAGAAACTTTATAAAAATTACCTTAGTATTATCTGGCGGTAAAGTATTCATTTTTATGAGTAATAACTAGAGAACATGACTGATGCAGCTATTCAGCCTTGGTAGTAATCCATTTTTTAGACAAATAAAAGATGAAATCCAAATGCCATTCAGTAATCTAATTCTACTAGAACTCGAACGTCGTAGTAGCAAATAACTAAACGATTAAAACAATGACTACGCCTATGGGTTATCAATCCATAAGAGCAAACATTTTAATTTCCAAGATCGTCTGTAAAATAGATTTTAAGACGGATATCTCATTACATTTAAAGTTTCAAGATTATCTATCAATTTTTTACACTTTTAGTCACATTAATGCTGCTGCTGCTACGAGCTTAGGGAAAAGGATGCATTTTGTAGTATTACCGGTTGAATCAATGGGTAACTGGATACCTCTACTCCTATCTAAGTGGACTTGCCAAGACTTTGGATGTGGCTTTCAACAAATTTTAGTCTCAACCGGTAAGCATGTTTGAAGCAGATGCAATTGTGCCGCTGTACAGTATAGTAGGCTGTACACTAGGATACGCGTGTTACTACCATCACTACTTCTACACTATAGATCGACTAATACAATTTATACATTATGTCTAAAATATACTGTATACCTCTATGTGCCTAACGTATCCTCATTCCAATCTTTATCGAAACTGCATCATACAAGATTCCAAATTTCCTTATGTCATCAACCGTCTCGATCCCAGATATGACTGGATAGGTTCACCAGCTAGTGCTTATAAAAGCTCCATCCAAGTTGTCGAATTGGATGCTTGTAAAGGTAGTAGTAATGTCTCACTATCCGGTAAAATGGCTATTGCGCAACATCAAAAGGGTTGTTCTTATTTTAAAATGGTAAGATGAACGGTAGCTTGAACGTAAATAACAACGATGATTATTTATTTTCAAATAATTGCCAACGCAAGCCATTCGAAATAAAAGTTATTATAATACTGACTAGGTTAAAGCAGCTTATACAGTCAAAGCCGCTGGATTAACAGTCATTGCTGCCAAGAACGAATATCCAGTAGATATGAACTGCCACGGTAACGAGTGCAATGTACGATATCCAATTCCGGCTACAATGATTTCTTACGCAGAAGGGCAGAAGATTTTGAAACTGTTGAAATCGAAAAAGAAAGTAGACTTTAGCTTTCAAACTACACCATCACATAATTTCTACTTTGGAATTGACGGTCAAGGTAAAATTGAGGAGACTGGATGGTTACTTTATCCGTCGTTCTTATACTTTACTTGGCAACTGCAATGGTAAATTGAAACATTATCATCACATAAAGTTGACAGTTCGACCTATACGTAATAATAATAATTAAGTATCCATCAATGATTAAAAATTCCACTCATGTAGTACATTATTAGATCAGCAATAAAATTGCATCACTATCACTATAAAATTATATCAAAATTCAGTTAGCCTTGAATAATTAATACACGCTTCTCCATTAGGTATGCTTACAAAAGTAATCTAATCCATAATATTGCCGAGCATGCCAAGGTGGTCCAAATCTTTAATGATTCCACTATTCATGGCAAATATGGAGCATCGGCTATCGTAAATTTGCCTCCTGTTAAAGGTATACCTAATCATATGTGATACTGTCATTTCTCTTTTATGACTTATCCTATAGTTTTGATTGTAGAATGTTCATTAACACTTCTTGAAGGGCTTATTGTACAGTTATTGGATATGACTATAGTCAAGATTAGCAATTTAACTGTAAAACTGCGCTTTATTTTAAGAAATGTTAGAATATCAAGACGTGCAATTAGACATGGCACTTTCGTGTCGAGGAAAACGAGACGAAGAGTGTCCGCCATGGGATCATACTGTTCAACTTTATGTATGCTGTTCTAACGCAACATCACATTGTCAACAAGAACTAGGGCGATGGATTACTTCATTCCGCCGGTAATTTTTACTTCCCAGTTTCTTATTCTTAATTTGATACCTTACAAGCCTAGTTGGGCACCACATTTTTACAATAAACATGGTTATGTCATTTATAAAATTTTTTAGCCGAATTGGTCATTGGTTGACGCCGGTAACTCCATTGTTGCCGTTATTATCATCGAGCAGTTGTAATTTCACCATGAAAACTGTTCCTTGGGCACAGCCATGGTTTACGACCCTGAAACTCAGATTTTCTCATAAAATAAGTTAGACTTTGCCTTTAAGATACTGGGATAATCAGATAAATTTTCAATAATTAAGTCTCATTATGTACTTATAAATATTATTATCCTGCCTAATGACATATGTGTGTATTGCCAGATACAACTGTAGCTAAGAAGAAAGGAACACCTCTCAAACCACAAAAATTAATACCACTATTTAGAGGAGGAACATTTGATAAAAACTATAATAAAAAATACAAACCGATTCACTTTAACATGACCAGCAAAACTAAAAAAGTAAAGCTTGTTGCGGTCATTACAGGTAATCTCTATTTGAACTATAGCCATAACTTATTACTGCATGTAACAGATCAATTATAGAAAGTTTTTTAATTTTGAATATAGGCCACGGAAGTGATAATAATAATTGTGCCGAATTCTGTGTTACATCCCATCATTTTATGGTAAATGAAAAGCATGCCAATGTTAGAACTTTTAGTAATGCTGGCAACTCTCTTGGATGTGCAGAACGAGTCCTTCAAGGTGTTACACCTAACGAACATGGGACGTGGCTATACGGAAGAGACGGTTGGTGTGATGGGCAAGAGATAAAACCCTGGATAGTGGACATAACCAATCAACTCAGCACTAAATCTGTCAACACTATTACTTATCATGGATATTACAACCATACTGACCCACATCCCACTTCCAAACCAGGATATATTATAATGTATTCCTTTCTTTCTCTTTATGATACATACTAGTTATAATGGAAAGTGATCATATGTAAAATATATTTTGTATGTTGTATATGATATATATTATATATCGTAGAATTAAAAAGTATTCTAGAATTGCTCTAGAGTTAAGTAAGAAATATTCTATTGGACAGCATGTTTTCTATTATGGAAGACATGTCCGTTGATTAACTTTTATTTTGGTTCCAGTTTACATCGTATTCTCTTATTATAATCACATATTACTATCTAATAAACATGTAACGAATTGGCGTACAATTTTATAGACTTATAATATGAAGCAGATGCAAACCCCTCTATAAAACAATGTATAATTAGATACTATCGCAGTATCAACTGCAGTTTTGCATCTCAAAGAACGAATTACATTTGAGATTGCCTGAGTTTACTATTTCATGCGATTTACTGTAACTCCAAAAAGTATCATGGTTAAATACTCGTGACCTCGCTTGTCGCTAGTTTATAGAATGAGCTTGACTGTGTGCCTCTGTTATTGTAGTTAAAAAATTTTGTCGTTAGAATCTAGCTAATCATAATTTCAAGCAATTTTTGACTGTGTATATATACGAGAAACATTGTAATGATATCGTTTGATGCCATCCTGCATTCCTATTATGACTCTCGTAATAGATTTTTGTACCAATTACTATTCTATATAGTGAACTTGACAACAGAGTACTTATGCATATGTTAAAGATTAGACTTATTTAACAAAGAGAGTTTTTAATAGAAAAACTAAACAGGTGATTGACTAAAACTAAGAATGACAATATTGAAATGTAGCTACTTGTATAAATTCAGAAACCAATTAGAATGACTGCTGAAATCATTATGCGCCGTAGCGCAGTACATGCTTTCCATAATAGGATAGTACCTCAAACACGGGTGGTATTTATTTATTTAGTTGTTTTCAAGTATTTTATTGGCTTGACAGCATTAAAAATATTGCTTTAGAGAAGGGTTTTAATTGATGTAAACATTACATATACTGGCAATCCTATACCTAAATCAAAGTTTACTCTCGTAGGATTCTTCCAGAATAAGATTTATGTACTTTGACCTTCGTGAATTGCAATACAAATTGGTAGTGCATCTAGTATAAGAATCTCGAATTCAATTTAAATAATTCTTATCTTAATTTTTCATTATATCCACCTATAACCATAGACGTATACTGATTACTGATAGATATCTGTTTGCTGGATTGAGTCATCCGTAATAAGAAGGTAAGACCGAAAATTGGATCACTACATTAATGATAAGTAATAGTACTTTATTATCTCATTATTCTTCACGTTTTCAATATTATCAGGATTAAACTTTCTCTATTTGCCATTATTGCCAATCCAATCAAAATGAACATGAAACAATTAACTTATGTGATTCTATTACTGATCATAATCATCGCCATTTTCGGACAAATTGCAATGTAAGGTTGCAGTTCGGATGTTTATTTTATCTGACTATAAATGTAATACAAGTACTACAACTGATTATCCGTACTCATCAGTATTTTGTCACTTTTTTATGTCTTTACTGGCGTTTTCGTACCAAACCTAAACTCATAATTAATATATTGTTGTAACAGGAGGTAAGCTTAATAGTGTATTCTTTTAACATGAACATTTTTTCGATACCAACTAGGAGCAACTACACTCTCAAAGCTGCTACAAATCAGTTCTCTTTACGTTTACAAGATCGTTTTATGTTAATGTCTTAGAGATTATAATATTGCTGTATTTTGCTTAATGTAATTATCTTTATATCATATCTCTATTTTAAACGCTAAATCTCCCACATTGATTGATATTCAAATCGAAAAATTGCCAAGTATAAAGTGAGTTATATTGCTAAATGTAGTAGATTTAAACTATTTCAGTTATAATAATGCTAACTTGTAACTGATTAACTTAATCTATCATTAAGAATTATTACAATTATTCGACTATTCTTATTTTCTACTCCTTTCCAATTCTGTCATTTACGAACTCTAAATTATGGTGGCTCAGCGAGTAAGTAGAAATAAGTGTATATTGCTCTTTGTACCCGTATAGTACTATACACTATGCTAATGCATTTGCTCAGTGCTTCACGATATGGATTAATGTAAAGTTTCAAGATTTTATCAAGGGTGGCTTTTTAAGCCGTAATATAGCACATTAAATCTATTGCAATCGTGGTATCAGATAACCAATCTCATATCCATGCTAATAGTTGTTGCTCAAGTCACCTACTGAAAATTTATTTATTCTTTTTATAAGCATTACTATTTTCTAAAGCTTACTCTAATATTGCATTTATCTCCATAATTTAATCCATGAATGTTTAATTTCCCTTCCTGTACAAATAGTGGGGTTGATAGGTAAGCTAATAATGCGAGCGTAACAACAACAAATTCTCATAGTGTTGATATCAATAATCAATTCTATATTAAGCATGCAAAGATTATAGTGTTTCATAAATGCATTATATAGTATTTGTAAGATTCGTTATTAGTAATTTGTGTTAATATCAACCAAAGGTAATTATAATTACCATGAATCAGAAATGTTAGTAACTTTTATGTTTTATACCATCCTCGTATCATATGAATTCTGAAAAATCTCGGTTAGATCTCCAAAATCCCCTGAGTAAGTTTGACTTTGCTTGCCTTATCTAAATTGTGTATAATCCCTAGAGCGTTAAGTTACAGCCTCATAATTGCTTAAGCAATTTATCGGTTAAAAAATGTAGAGATTAAACAGAAAGGATAGAATGATGTATACGTAGTCTTTCCTGGTAGAAAATAAATCATGATAGATATTGCGTTAATTTCTAAGAAATTATTTTCTTTTCATACACATGTCTTTCACAATCAATCTTGCTCTCCAATTCTACAAACTGAACTGAAAACTGATCGGAAACATAAAATTCAGCGAGTAAGGAGACTACTAAAGAATAAGTCTTTGTTAATAGTATTGATTTATAGCCAATACTATAATTTATTGCAGCCTGTTCACTGTTAAATAAATACTAACAAAAATTGTTGTACTCTAATTAGGCTTTAACGGCAAACCTTATACCAGTGAAAAATGATTGGAATTAAATTGAATTTATGTAATAGAATCGTTGACCATGAAGTACCTGTCATATCGATACAATATAGTGAATCATAAAGTGAACTAAAAATAATAATATATAAATGATCGCTTACTCATGAGCCTGTAATCCTTTCTCAATGAACTGAATTTATTCGTAATAAATTAAGATTGTAATTTTTCAATTTTCTAGATATGCAATCGTATTCAAATCAGATGTACCTATAGCTCAAAGATTTTGCACTATAGGAAGTACATAATCTGATTGCACATGATTGTATATGTATGGTTATTTTCTATAATCAAAATGTAGATGATAACAATTTATAATCTCATATTGATTATGATAAATTATCATTACTACACTTATGGACTTATGGTTGCAATACTTTTCTATATCCCTCATTTCTTGGTAGAATGTGATTTAGCTGAGCTTTCAATAAAATCCTTTATCAGGCTGTTAAGTTATTACGATCACGTCGCTGCCGCTATCATGATGTAACTCATAAAGTCGATGATAACTCTATGTCGTAAATTTTACACGCTTTAACAGTTCATCTTTGATAAGTATTTAAAGTTAACTTCATTTCATAGGCAATAATTATTTCATTCGCATTCAAGGATGAGAGATTTCAAAATTTAATAGTCAATTCCATTGTCAAGTCATAACGTATATTACATTAAGTTGATGACAGTTGCAAGTTAAATCCAGATTCTATGTATTAATATCTCAAGAAAGAACTCACTGATTAGTTTGAGTTTGAATACCACATGCTAATATAGCCTTAGTAATAAAATAATTGATAGATTTTCAACACATTGACTCGTGCGATTTGTACAAGCACTAATCATAGTGCTTCATCTCCAGACTGTATATATACATTCACTTGCCGACTCTAAGTGGCAGTAGAATAATGATATCCTATGGAATATTATAGAAATGATATTGTACGCAGCAGAACACTGCAATGAGATTATTGCTTTTTGATATTCAAGGAGACTCCAATTAAATTGACATTACGATTTTACAAAATAAATTCCGTTCTTGTACTTGCCGACGCTAGGATTGGAACCTTTGCTACGATCTACCCAGTGACCGATAGAATGATGAGAATTGGATTTTTTCTTGTCTTTATCTGATCGCTTTTTAGCTTTTGCATCCATATTCCCAGTAGCTAAATCTAGCTGCCTCTTTGTTCTTTCTCTGTCTTTCCTAATCTTTTGCACTTTCATATACAACGGGTATGGCATTTTATTGTCTTTATGCTTTTGACCACCCAATCTTTCAACTGTTTCTTGCTCCACTTTCTTACGTTGTTTGTAATCGAATCCACTAATACCAAATTTTAGCACATCCTTGGACATTTCTTTTAATTCAGCCTTTGCTTCTTGCTGCATCTTCAATTGATCTCGGCGAGTTACTGTCATATTACATTATGAAATATTAGCATCACAAAATATGAAATTGAGCTCAATATTGCTACAGTTATTGATTGATTAATTTCTATTAGCGATGCAATACGAGTGGGTTGCAGCCGATACGTTAATTACTATACATGTAGACAGTAAAAAAAGCTTAACCACTATCTGATCGTTATTTACCGTTTAGAAAGTGTATAATACGCCATCTATGCATTTCCATCGAATGCCTACTCCCGCTCCAATTCAATGGAGTATTTAATACAGTATACGAGTCTATCTCTTCATGTTAATTGCATTGACGATCGTGGCAATGTTGCATTTAAGTATCTAGTTTCTACACTGTTATACAGTATACTGTACTCGTATATCGAGACTGATCAATTAGCCTAGCATGCCATGACAAGTCATCATTACTGTACTTGTCTGTACCTAATATTTTGCTGACTGGTTTGTCCATACTGGCTACCTTAGGTTTCTTTATTCGAGGATCTTGAAATTTGACTACCACAGGCTCTTTCTTTCGAGGAAACTTCGCTTCTTTCGGTGCCATTGGAGCATCAGCTCGATGTGATTGATCCACCACGTTGTCATGTAAACTCGATGGTAGACTTGCAATAGTATGTGCGGATCGACGTTGAAGCTTGCGTTGCTTTTTGTCCATTCCACCGAGTTGAATCGTGTCCGCTCTTGATTCTATTCTACACGTCGATGGTTGTTCTATAGGTAATATGTCGACTGTCGAGCGAGGAAAGGTTATTCGACGAAAGGGCAATTAATGTCCTAATTCATCAATTCTATAGTACACAACTTAATACGACAGTATGCCGTAGTAGGGTATTTATTCCAGTTTGCGTTGGCTGCATCAGTACTGTATCAACTACAGCGTGATTGGCTGAATGGGATCGTCCTGTAACTACTGCATAATCAGCTAAAGTAATCCGGCCATAAATTAATTAATTTTATGCAATTCTATACCAATACATATTCACTGAATGAATACTGTACACTAACTGTAAACCAATGGATATAAACTGTTAAGACAGAGGCGTTTGATATGGACTACTAAATGAACATGTACTAATCCAGTACATTTGATTTAGCTATCCAGTTGGTTGCAGTAGTTTATCGGAGCAGCACCAAGTTTATTATTTCTTTTTACAGTATACTATTTGAGAGCTATGCACTAGATTTGAGCCATCCAATTAGTTTGAGTTATTAATCAGAATGGCACAAGTTATTGCTTCCAGTATTTGTGAACCACTGTATATATATATATACTGTACTGTACTCTCCACTTGATTGGCTTGTTTTACAGAGCAAAAAAACTTGAATTCAAAATAATCCCACTATCAAACTTCTGGTTCCTCCATACTACGATAGTATAAGTAAGGGAAATCAAAGTCATATCTACATGGTAGAGAACAGTAGTAATGGCAGGCACTACTCAAAAAGAAAGGAACGGTCGTCAACGTAAAATAATTCGGAGGCTGACCATTTTTTGGTCACTTTATTGTACGGTATGAATAAAACCGTTTACCCTACTGCACCAAATCAACCCAGCAGTTAATTTGGATGTTAATCGCAGACAGGATGCGTATAGTATACCGTTGAAGCAGACATACGCTACCGTTGAAACGACCAGTAAGCAGAGTAAAATTATAATCAGCCTGCCAATACATTGATTCTTAGTACAACGACCGTTTGATATCCCATTCCTTTTCTTTTTTTATCTAATATTAGTACAGTAGTCCCTAGTAACGGCTACCAGTGCCGTAAAAACATTGCCGTTGAGGAATCCCTGCGGTTACTATTCTTACTGCAGTTTACCGTCAACATTGAATCTAGTCTGGACACGAAATGATGACTCCCTTCATCCTGCTGTCCTTCCGTATTCGAATTTTTAAGCCATAGAGTAAATGGTGCAAAATATCTGTCTTTAAACAGAACTGCAAGGGGCAGCAGGAGAAAGGGTGACATCCTTTTTACGGTATTCGTATTTTTTAGGCATAGAGTATCTGGTGCAAAATATCTGTCACTAAGTATCTGGTGCAAAATATCTGTCACTAAAGAGGACTAACTGCAAGCGGATAGCAGGATAAAGGGTGATTGATATCCTTTTTACGGTATTCGTATTTTTTAGCCATAGAGTATCTGGTGCAAAATAGTTGTTACTAAAGAGTACCAAGTGCAAGGGATAGCAGGATAAAGGGTGACATCCTTTTTACGGTATTCGTATTTTAGTCATAAAGTATCTGGTGCAAAATAGTTGTCAGTAAACAGTACCAAGTGGAAGGGGATAGCAGGAGAAAGGGTGACATCCTTTTTACAGTATTCGTATTTTAGTCGTAGAGTATCTAGTGCAAAATAGTTGTCAGTAACCAGTACCAAGTGCAAGGGGATAGCAGGAGAAAGGGTGACATCCTTTTTACAGTATTCCAATTTTTAGCCAAAGAAGTATCGGGTGCAAAATAGTTGTCACTAAAGAGTACTAACTGCAAGCGGACAGCAGGAGAAAGGGTGACATCCTTTTTAAGGTAGTGTACAGTACTATCCACTGTAGTGGACGAACAAAGATAGTGTACTGTACTGTACTATTACAGTAAACTGTACTGTAAGCCCGTGGCACTTGCATTCTTGACATTCAATCGCACCTTAGTAGGTTGCAGGTTAACGTTGAATGTCCATGGATGCTTCCAGAACATTGGAGCACGTTAACGACGCGTCTAGAATACCTATTGTACTGATCGTGGTGATTGGATATAAAAGCCAAGGTGATTTATTGTGGGATTGAATCTCTTGGTCAACATTGTTGCTGACAAAATCCAACGACGACATAAATTGTTGTTATTGCCAATATTCATTGAAGCTCAAAACTCTTCTACTCTCTATTCTACGTCAAGTCTTGATTGATTGAATTATTGCATCTAGTGGATTATCCTGACGCCAAGATGGGCAAGGACTACTATCAAATTTTAGGCGTTCAACACAACGCCACCGACGATGAAATTAAAAAGGCTTATCGCAAAATGGCTTTAAAATACCATCCTGATAAAAATAAAGACAAAAATGCCGAAGAAATATTTAAGGATGTGGCTGAAGCTTACGAAGTATTAAGCGATAAAGAAAAGCGCGGAATTTATGACCGTTATGGTGAACAAGGACTCAAAGGTCACTTTGCTGATGCATCCAGCAATGATAGCCACGGCACCTACTCGATGCCGCATGGATTTAAGGCTTATACATTCCATGGAGATCCATTCCAAACTTTTAGCCAAGTCTTTGGGACAGGAACTCCTTTCGCTGAGTTATTTGGATCGACTGGTGGCACTTCACGCAATGGCCATTTCAGTATGTTTGATAACTTTGATGGCGGCTTCAATGCCAACCATGACGAAAGTCCTTTTATGTCTTTCACTAATGGCTTGGATCGTGATCATCAAGCAGGGTTAAAGCAAGACCCACCTTTGCTGAAAGAACTTTATCTGTCGCTGGAAGAGCTCTATTCTGGATGCACCAAACGAATGAAAATCAATCGAAAAGTCGTCAATTCCATGGGTCAAGAGACAAGGCAAGAAAAAGTCTTAGAAATCAACGTTAAACGAGGCTGGAAAGAAGGCACCAAGATCACCTTTCCTAATGAAGGCGATTCCTTTCCTAACAGGAAGCCTGCTGATATCATCTTTGTCATTAAAGAGAAGCCTCACCAAACTTGGAAACGCGACAATAACGATTTACAGTATACCGTCAAAGTCAACTTAAAGGAAGCCTTGCTTGGAACAAAGGTCTTTGCACCCATCATCGCAGGTGGCGTGAAAGAAATTACAATTAACGAAGTCATTCGACCTGGCTATACGTACACCATTCGCGGAGAAGGCATGCCTCTACCTAAAAATCCTAATTATCGTGGCGATTTGGTGCTTAAATTTGATATCGATTTTCCCAAGCATTTATCAGACCATAGCAAACAACTACTGAGAAATGCACTACCGTAATCGCAAAAGCGTGGTTAGCATTGATGATTTTGTAAACGATCATTCGTGTATGTAGAATCATACATCATCTCTCTGTTTATGATACATTTCGAACTAGTCAGTTAGTACCGTTGTATAGAACAAAAGCAGCTAGCAACAATCAAGCTGATCTTATGAACTTCTGTATATAAACGAAATTATATCGTATCATCTCCATGATGGACAAACTCGTAATCACCAACTAGCTCAATTTTTTATCATCCAATTCTGGCGATTATCAAACTCGGCTATATTGATCATACCAAGCATAAAATATCCTTTGCAAATTGCTTTGACTCTTCAAGATTGATATCTTTTACGATAGAATGCCTAATCAATACTATTGAATGGTCATTTTGGGTGGATATTACTTATTACGTGCGAATAATAATAATCTCAACAAATATTAATATATTTTCGGTTGATTCGGCATCCATTGCTGATGCTAATGTCAATTACTGTACTTTCACTCAAGTATTATCATCGCTGAACTACTGGCGTTGTATAGACATTTCAATCTTGTCCAAATAATTCATTCCGTATTAATATATTATAAACTGTAAACAAATGCAACTTAAATGGAACGACTGTAAATAAGAATTTTTCACAATGCGTCAGATATATAGTATACGAATAATCATATATTTATAAATAATTACTCTATGTGTAATTATCACCAGATTATAACCATGAAGCAATAAAATGATACCATTTCAATCTCATGTATAGCGATTGTTTGTTTTAATTAGGAATTAGCTAGGATTTGTAGAGCCATCAAAGTGCACCTTTATTACAATATAATACCGATCAAGCAATCACTATTTCACATTATAAAATGATAACGATCATTTACAAAATCTACATCAATATACAGTAGATGAGTCAAGGGTACATCATTGCAGTTGATGGCTGAAGTTGACATATTCTTACAGATTTTGTAATTAAAAGATGTTCAACTACAATAGTACAGACTAAATGTGAAAGTCGATCCAATGAGCCACTAAACCAAACTCATGGTACTACGGTAGTCGGGGATTACTCAAGAAGGAACGCCTTGGAAGGTAAACTTTCTTCTGAGGTATTTTTTTCTTACGTAATCCCCAGTAGTACGTATACCAGTCTAACAGGATTAGTTATAATAGATGTTGCGCCTAGTCAGCAATTTTTTACTACCCCTTTATGACGATTAACTGCATAACCAGTTGAGAATTTACACCAAATTTAATACGTGTAAAACGACTGTAGTGATGCACCCCATATTTGATTATAAGGATAGCTATGTTTGATATCGTTAGGTTACTAAGAAAAGATATTATCATGCAGCTAATATTAGATGATTGATAACTACCATATTAGAAAGGGAAATCGTTGATGGCTAATATTAGCCAGTTGACTAATTATGGTACAAGATTTATATGACTAGAAACACTGTAATTGTGAAGATGCCCAACACCGAAAGGTGCTGGACATTAATAAAAGAGTAGTGATATCTTAAGTAGAATGATTTAGATTGTAGAAGATAATGATGTTCTATTTGAGAAAAAGTATTTTGTTTGATGGCTCATGTCTGATTGCAGATTAATCAAGTTGTCATAAATGGATTTAGCGAAATGTATTTAAGACCTGTAGAGATGACCTCACAAGAGAGAAGAGACTTCACTTCGCTTTGAGCTTGGAATACTTTAGATTTTAGACTAGATTCTTGCAGTAATCAATTATTGCTCTACTATTCCTAAAACTTTGTAATAAAAGCCTTTTAGAAAATACTATTGACTAAGACAGTTATTGTGAGACATTTTTATTACAACAGCCAATACAGTATTCTTGCCACAGCTTGTGGTAGTAGATTTTGATTTCAATAAATGATAATAGGATTCACTTGTACTGTAGAAAATGTTGTGCCTAGTCAGCGGAATCTTGTTAATCCTCTATGTAAGATTAACTGCATAATTAAACGAGAATTGGACGCGTACGATTATAGCAAGTACAGGAGACGTAAAACGACCCATGTTATTACAACAGCATGCGGTAGTAGACTTAAATTTCAACAAATAATTATAAGATTTAGTTATAAAAGATGTTGCGGCTAGTTAGCGATTTCTTATTATCCCCATGCAAGATTCACTACCGTAACTAACTAGTCTGAGAATTTACACGTACTCAGCGATTTCTTATTATGCTTTCACGCAAGATTAATTACATAACTAGCCAAGAATCGACACATATTTACGAGTATACTGTAAGTTCAAGACATGTAAAACGATCAATACTATTGCTACAGTATGTCGTAGTCGATTTCAAATTCTGTAAGTAGCTTAGAGTAAACTCGTAAAAATAAACGGTTAATTCTAAATAGCTTCATAGAATAGGTTAGTATCACAAACAGCTCTGAATATACTCGATTGGAATTACTTGTATGACCAAATCTAACGTATTGCTACAATTTTAAACGACTGTTAACATCGCACATTCTTTTAAGCATGACACATCAAAGTGCCACTAATGCTATTAGTCCTTGCCAAATATATTATCAACCATACTTGAAGAATACAACAAACGAGTTCCAGTCTAACACTAAATGATTTGAAATTTTTTAAAATAACTTCTATACGTCTACATATTTGACAGAAACGCATTGAATGTGAAAAAAGAACTGATAGAATTTCTATTAAAACTCGTAAATAAGTAATATCCGTCTTGAGTAATTAATAAATTCTTTCTTCCATAAAATCCGGAATTCATTGAATGCAACTGATGTTTCCTATACCATATACAATAGCCATATGGAGTTCGTATGAAACAAAAATCTGTCGATGTTGCAACTGGTTGATAAAATTAATTTATACTAAGTTACACTGACAATATCAACTCGAGTTAATTCATAACGCTTCCATATGTTTACATATGCGAATTTTAGGAGAATATATGCTACTACTAGTAAGCCTAGATTGACATAGACAGACTATCTTCATCTACTGCTCCTGTTAAGTACTATACTCTAATACATTCTTCAAGTAATTTCAACTTGTTCACGCTACCATGGTGGAATAGCAGTAGTGTAGATACCTCGAAGCGACTATCATCGATGTTTTGCACTGCTAAAATAACCTAGAATTGAATATTAGATGAATGCTTTCTCTACAAAGCTAGCAGCGATAACGAATTGCCGGTACACTTTTATTCTTATTGCGACCTACAGCAAGTAAAAACTCTGAGTTCTAACCACTGGAATAAATACCAATCTTATGCGATTCATTTATTAATAATATACTAGGCCGACAACCATTTCTATCAAGAGCTCTACACGACTTTACTCACGCTAGAGTAAGCCTCGACATTAAAGGAAGAAAAATCGCGCTCGTCAGAAATACAACACACAGTAATTGTCAAAGAGCCTAATATTGTGCCTTAATCCTTACAAAAGTTTGATATTCAAGAACCTACCAACAATTTCCTCAAGAAAGAAAAAAATGGCCTACAAGTCAGCCCTGCAACATTTAGAGCAAAGTCAAGCGAGCTGCAATTTTTATTGCTGCCGTAGAACGCTAATTGCCTTGAATGCTTGCTATTTAATAATTGGTATTATTCTAATCTCCACGGCAGCTGGTGCTAGCATAACCAAAGTAGTGACAAGTTTACCCGTTGTCGGTGCAATCATCACTATTGGCATTTTCCTTATTTTAGTCTCCATTTTTGGTGCCGCAGTGGCGATATGTCATAGTAGCATTGGTTTATTGTTTTATACCTTGATTATGGTTGGGGTTTTCACGATGCAGTTCGCTGTTTCTATTGCTGCTTTATCCATTAACCGACAGCAAGAACATCTGGTTATGTCTAAAGCATGGGATAAACTGCCATGGACAACTCGGCATGGCATCCAAGAACGATTTGATTGTTGTGGCTTTGATTCATCCACTGGAAATGCTAGTGCATCAACTCCAAGCTGTCATGTGTTGAAATGCTATAGAATAAAGCAATCATGTTCATATTGTTATCCAATTATGAAAGATATTATTACTGCAGCGTTAAAAGGTGGTGGTGGAGTAGGTTTATTTTTTAGTTTTTTCGATTTCCTTGGTATTTTCTTTGCCCATCGATTGCGCCGTTTACAAGATCCAATTCATGTTCCAACTAATCATCTTTACTAAATTCATTAGTTTTGATAGCTCAATAGCACAATTTACTCTCATTTATCATAAGTGCTACAGATTGTTACTTTATGGAGGCCTGTAGTGAACTCTAGTATTTAAATTCTTTATGGAATCAAAGGCGAAATAGTCCGTATTTGTTTACTAATACCTGTATTTAGGATCAATAAAGAATCAGGAATAATCTTAGCTACATTCATGGCAATTCAGCCATCTTAAGCTTTTATTTTTAACAATATGATAATATGCATAATATTAATTTTAAATAGAAACAAATCAAGTATTGCATAGATATAATATAAGAAGCGAATTACAACAGCTTATATGAATTCAAACTCATTATCTTGCTAGGATATTGTAGCATGTAGATGTATTAACGTGCAGAATGCATTAAGATCTTACATTTTATCGAAAGTAATAACTATGCTTAAACATTGAGTAGCGTAACAATTATAATAATTATTAGCTAATTTAAGATACAATTTTTGGCTCTTGTTCGAATTGGTTGCGCTTATTTTAGACGATTTAAAGGTAATCGATGTTTATCAAGGCACACCTATGTACTCGTATTACGGTTACGATGAAAGTTGCTAAGTAAATTACTAAAGATTCTATAAATTTAAATACATGATACAAAAACCTATTGTAAGTTATCACTACTCCAATTAAGGCTAACCCTACTGGATAGGTAATGAAGTCTATCATCACTAGTAGAAGTAAAACGTGATCTATTTCTGCCTATATGCAGACGTCACTAGCTTTAAAAATCAGGTACTGTGGAAATTAGAATCGTTTTATTCAATTAAAGAACTCTCTAACTATGAATTCAGTTGTCCAAATTGTGTCTGCGATAGTAAAGCTGATGGAATTCATTGACATAATAAAATTTTTACAAGATATTTCAATTCGATAAATACTACAGTCAAGAATAAATGATGAGACTTTGATGAATTTATCGACTATTCCGAGAGAACTGTGGAAGTATTTCGATTGAGGGTAACAAAATAGAATACAAGCGTCATTAATGTTGCTTATTGTTTTATGAACTTGTATAAATTTGAAACAATCAATTTAATTTAGTAAATATCTTGAAATAAATAAACGAAAATAGGTACTTTGACTGTTTGCTATTTGGGCCATAATCTCAATTTCATGAATATTACCGAGAATACTTAATCTCGATAGCAATTTATTTCCAATCGCTAACTTTTAAAGTCTATATCTAAAATCAATTGCGACAATTAAGATCTGACTTTCTTTTGCAATGCAATAGTAAACCTAGTAGCATAGCAACCAGCGATTGAAAGCATTTTTTTCAATGACTACCCGTATATTACTAAAGAGCCTGAAAGGACAAAAGTAGTCTACAGTAAAAATTTCCAATTAACACTATCAATCAGTAGATAGGATGACCGCATGTTAGCTTGCTTTTTACAAGGATGTCATAGTACTATATGAGTATTATATCATAGGTATATTCATCATACTTATCGAGGCTTTTTATTCTAATTAATTATATACCAAAGAGCATGGAAGTAAGAATGCAGTTAGTATTCAAAATTTTTTATTGATACGAAGTAAAGTTATTATTCACCTGCTATCAAGTGATAGAATAGCTGCATGCGAGTTTGCTATTTATTTTGAGCGGGTGTAAAATATTTTTGGAAACTTCCTATACGGTTACTGGAGAGCCTTGAAGAAAGTGAGCAACCAGCTGCAAGAAAATTGCCAATTAAATAATGTTATCGTCCATCCACTATCATTCGATGGTGTAATTGCATGCAAGTTTGCTTTTCATTTTGAAGGAGTACCTTGGCTTATTTAAAATATTTGTCGAGGCTTCTTATTATAAACATCCTATAGTCTAGAAGAAAGAAAGTAATTTATGTTAAATGAGCACATTATCGTAAACCGTCAGTAAAGCGACGGGAGTTTGCACTAGTATCTATCAAAGCTTTCAATCATATATAAATAAATACTACACAGCCTGAAATGAAGGAAGTACGGTAGTCAACAGTAAAATTTCCAATGAAGGATATCATAGCATGGTCGCATACAAGCTTGCTTATAAGGACACTACACTACAGTACGACGTCCTATATTTATAAAATTTATTAAAGCTTCCTACTATAAATGAATTCTACCATATTGGGAGGAAGGAAGCAGTCCACAGTAACAATTTCCGATTAAAGTTGTCTTAATAGCATGGTTATATGCAAGCTTGCTTATAAGAATTTGATGTCCTACTGCATATTTATAAAATTTAATTATCGAAGTATCCCACTATAAAGCGAATACTACTGAGCAGACCTCCGTAGAAGGAACGAAAGAGTCAATAGTTAGAATTTCTAACTAATGATATCATTTGTTATTTGATAGCATAGTTGCATGCATGCTTATTTGATGTCCTCTATATCTATGAAATATGTCGAAGTTTGCTACTATAAAATGAACACTACAGAGCTTAGAAGGGAGAAAAAAGTCAACGATTCAAAATTTTAATCAACGCCATCATTCGTCATTTGATAGCATAATCGCACTCTTGCTTGCTTGCAAGAATTTGGTGTCCTATACGTATAGCACTCATCGGAGCTTCCTAGTATGAATGAGAACTACAGAGCCTGGAAGGAAGGAAAATATCAATAGTAAAATTTTTAAATGAACGCTATTAATCATCATTTGATAGCATAGTTGCATGCATATTTATATAAAATCTATCGAAATTTTTTACTATTATATGAAAATTGCATAGCCTGGAAGAAAGGAAAGAGTCAGTAGTAAAAATTTCTAACAAGCGCTACCATTTATCTTTCATAGCATAGTTGCATGCATACATCGAGCAAATTTATCGAAACTTCCTAACACAAAATGAACACTACAGAGCTTGGAAGGAAGGATAAAGTCAATAATAAAAATTTCTAATTAACGCTACCATTCGTCATTTGATAACATAGTCACATGCATACTTGATTAAAAGAACTTGATGTTCTATATTTATACAATTTATTGAAGCTACCTACTATAAATGAACATTACAGAGCCTGGAAGAAATAAAGCAATCCATAGTAAAAATTTCGCTATCATTCGTCATTTGATAACATGGTCGCATACCATTGCTTCTTGGTTATAAATTTTAATTTACTAAAGTTTCTTTGATACAAGTATCAACAATTCACAAATTATTGAAATAGAGATTTTACCGAGAATAGAAGCTGTTATGATGTATATAAGCAATAAAGCTAAAAGTGTAGTAGTCGCACAAAATTTGGTTAAAAATTTATAACTGTTTTGAATAGTCACGAGAGACAGATGATTCATCATCCGTTAGGAAATAGATAGAACTAATTAAGTCATGGCTACGTGGCAACTATCCTATCGAGTTGATAAATAGGAGAGGCTTCTGAAATAGAATCCATAACGCAAGCAAGCAATCAATCCAATAGAGTTAATTCGGAAACGACTAGTTCGATATCGTTTGTGGTAACTTGTTATCAAGCGATAAACAAGCGGTATACAATATTGAAAATGAGCTCTCATTTTACGGGTGAATGATCGAAATTGAGGGTTTCGATTGATATTTAACTTATTATTAGACAGTCCGTTGTCATCATCATCATTGAGGCCACGGACATGATTAGCATACCTTATTAGATTTGACAAAGTAACATATGGTTTAGGCAACAGCTGGCGACTTTTAACCGTTCTACTTTCTACTTTAAAGCTGTAATGAACTGTATTGAATCGGACTCATTTTTAACGGTATCATTGCTATCCAGTTGAATTTTTTCCTCTCATTAAATACCAATAGTTTCTTTCCTGAAATACCGACACACCAGCTCGGTAGCCCATATATAGTGAGAAATAGAGAGAGTGAGAAGGCGGCAAGGTATGGCATTATTGATACAAAGTTAGGCCAACTACGCATAGCTGTAGCCCAATTAACTTGATTGATATTCTATTTAGGCAGCGATTGGCTCGAACACAGATTTTAAGCAAAGTTGCAAGTCTGTCGTCATCAATACCCCTCGTGGTGATCATCTGTTTCTTATTCAACTCGAATACAGTAAATGATTCGGTTTCCACCATTACTTCCCCTATTCTAGTTGAATTGAAATAGACAAGAAGCCAACTACTCTTCACCAACTTTAATCCTTTCATCGATAGTGATCTCTACTTCTGGCTTGAAGTGAATTGGCTAAATCTACTGTGGCAAGAAATCTTTTGCATCCATTTTTTCTCTTCATCGCTGCTCTCGAGACGATTTAGGGGATAGTCGTAACGATTATTGATTCCTTTCTGCAAGTTTTTCTATCTGATTGAGTTATTCTCCGAATCAATTGAATCATATCATGGCTAATTCACAAGAATGTAGCTATACATTTGTTAAAGTTTCATTAATTATAATTAACATTATCTACGTGTTGGTAGCAATGACCATGATTGGGGCTGCAATCTTTGCTGGTGCTGCACAAAAATTAACCAGTTTACCAATACTAGGTGCAGTGACAGCCGTGGGGATTATTTTACTCCTTCTAGCCATCATGGGTTTCGTTGGAGCTGCTAAACACAATCAAGTTTGCCTCTTTTTTTATATGATACTGGTTTGCTTGATGTTTATGATCCAATTTTCAACATCTATTGCTGCCTTAGCTTTAGATAATACCCAACAACGGACAATCTTGCGCACCGGTTGGGATGGAAGTAGTAAAACGACCAAATCTCAAATTGAGAAAATGTTCCATTGCTGCGGTTTCGATGCCCAAAACTTAACCGTATTCTATGAAACTCATCCACAGTGCTCTCGACGATTACCTTGTTATTACTATTTACAAAATTCCATTTCACGTGCATTAAAAATTGCTGGTGGTGTTGGCTTAGCTTTTAGCTTTACCCTCTTTATTGGTGTCTATTTATCTCATCGTTTCCGAAATATGAAGGATAACACCGATATAGACGATAACTTTTTCTAAAAGTAAATGTTACCGATTGAGATGGTGGCTGTAGTTCAATGGATCCTAATTGAAAAATACCGTCTCTCATATGTTTATTAAGGCTAGCTTTCAAACTTGGTGTCAGTATCATTTCTACAACCAACCAGATGCATAATTTAGAGCATGTTATACAGTATTAAATTAGAATGACTGATGGTATTACTCTATTCTTACCAGTTGATGTCAGCAATTGTAAACTCGTCTATCATACAGTAATCTAGAATGCTGGAGAACAAGGTAAGACAATTTTATACCACTTCATAACTTGATCATGAAAATCATTCACATCGACAATAGACTATAATGTATCAACTCTATAAACACCATTTCAAATCTACAATTCTAAGCTATAATGGTTACGATAGTGGATTCATAACAATGCCTTCTCTAATCTTATTTTATGGAAAAAGTTATAATAACTACCATCGTATTCTAGATAAAATATTTATTTTAAGCGGTTTGTTTCATGTCTAGCTCATTCTAATCTAATCTATTATTGAATAGCGTGTAGCAATAGATTAAAAGAAAATACTCTCTGTGACAGATTGTAATTCTTGAATATCGGGTAGTGATTCTACTAAAATATTTCTAAATCATTCACTATTTACTCTTTTCCGCCGCAACGGTTTGTGAACCAATCTGTCTGTAAGTTTCAATTTCGATTAGTCAACGCTTATTAGGAAATTTATGCCATAACATTTAATTGTAAGCTCTACCGAAGTAGTCCATAACTGACATATTAATTTTTCCATTATGTCTCTATTCCAATATCTTCTATTTCTAGTATCGTGCTAATTATATGGACATGCCAAAACCCAATCTTAAACGGGTATTATGGTTGTCACTGTTAATACGACAGCCTTGTTAAGTTTATCAACTATCCCAACAATAATAAGCTTGTAATTGCTGTCTAATATTCAATGAATGTCATTCCAATTGTAACAATTAATTTTGTTCTTTTTCTTGATCATCAACCATAATCACAGAAAAGCAACAAAAACTAACTTATCTTTAAATCAGTATTGCTGTTATCATCATTCAACAACAACGTCAAGCATTTCAATAAATTAGAATTTAGCTCATGGATACAAATCACGAAAACAGACTTAAAATGGATCATAATACAGTATTCCATTTTGGTATGGTTATCATTTATTTTAACAAGATACGATGATTATTTAGTGATATGACCGGGGGAGCTCCCATAAAAATACTCACCATCGACTTCGAAACTAGATAGCATCATAAATCAATTACTACCGTAATGTCTCAGCAAATGGCCAATTTCTTTTACCTATAATGCTATAACTATGGCTTTGGGTAATGGATGCATTCTTTAATATCAAACCCGACAGTTCAATTATCCAAATAATATTAATCCCTGAGTATATCCATCATTTTTTAATACTTTTATTAATGTATCTAAAATCAAACTAGAGCAATAGATCAGATTTCCAGTAGTGCTATTTTACCGTATTAAATGGATAAATCTATTCAATAACAGGATTAAGCATTTAAATCAACTAGAATGAACTAGTAGACAAGAAATATTCCCCTTCCCCTACTAGCATTTTAGTATTATTTCATAGTACTACAAATCCGGGTAATTGTAATTTATTTCGAAAGGGATGCACTCATGATTTATAGCTAAAATATACATAGATAAGACAGATCGATAGAAATGTTCTAAATAAATCGCTAATGTTACGTATAACGATGGTATGAGTTAATTAACAAATTTTTTATCGTAAAATCCAATAGTTTAAATATCCAAAAGATATTATGTATAGAGTTTACTCATCATTTTGTAATGCTTTATCAATGTATCGGAAGTCAAAGTAAACGACAGAAAATGTCCACAATTTCCCACAATTCTATTCATAAAATGAATCGTTTCAACCTTACACTTTATCGCTTCTATTCCTACCTGATCTCAGGTACAAATTCCCATTAATGAGAAAAAATATTGATAGTATCCTGTTAAATGGCTATTAGAGTTACATTTTTTTACCTGCATTTTATAAACGCTAAATCTAGAGAATAACTCTTTAGTTTCCTATAATATTTAACTAATTACGGTAATTATCGCTGACCTAAATGAATATTTTTCTAGCAACAATAACGAGTTAAAAGACCAAGAGTACAAATAAGCCATTATTCACAACGCTTGTAGGTTGTTGGTAACCTTCCGAGATCTAAGGATGCCTACATAAGCAGAATTATATTAGATAGCATTATTCAGGGCAATGATTAACTCAGTAACATGCATGCCTCATTGATACATGAATTAGAGTGAAATCAATTTATTTCTTACGTAATACGATAGCACGGCTTCAGCAATACGCTGATTTTCTTCAGCTCGTTCAATAGCTAATTCTACACGTTCCGGCTTACACTGATAGAGAAGTTGATTGTTCACAAAAGTTCCTTCATGGCTTTCAATATTATATTTACTATGATAAATAGTTCTTCGACCAGTTCTACCTGGCTTACCCTGTGTAAATTTACCAGCAAATTTGTCAATAACTCTTTTAGACTCTTTCTGTAGAGCATCATTAGGCTTAGAATAGCGTACTAAAACGCCATAGCCGTGCATTCGACCTTGTTCAAACTCTCCAGTATAACAAATTTCTAATTCTGGAGAATATAATTTACCATGGCCATGAAATAAACCATTTAGCCAATGACCAATATAAATATAACGATTAGCCATTTCTTGTTTACCGATACCATTTTTTTCACCTTTTGCAATATCGACTTGGCCGATATAAGTGCTTCTTTTCCCATCACTGTCTTGATAAACCAAGCGTCTTAGTTGAAGGTTACACGGATCGATCATCTTGACTACTGAATCGGTTTATCCAATAAGAAATAAATGCACTTAGAGCTATCTTGTTTAATCTATTCCTTGAATTTGAGTTGTGTTTTACAATGAATGTATTGATCGAAGAACTAGACCAGATAATACCTTATTAGAAGCTGATATTAAGGATGAGTACGGATAGAATTGAACATTTTAAATTCTTTTCAGTAGTGCTAGCGTCCTTTATTTTCCTCTTGCTACGGGTTGAAACTTTATAATAAAAGTGAAGAAATTTAGCTTTTCAAGTATCGATTCAGTAGTACTAGCGTCCTTTATTTCTTCTTGCTACAGATTGAAACTTGGAATAAACATGAAGAAATTTAGCTTTTCAAATATTGATTCATTAGTACTAGCGTTCTTTATTTTTCCTTTGCTATTGATGGGAATCAAAATGTAGAGAATGAGCTTTTCAAGTTTCGATTTAGTAGTACTTGCGTTCTTTATTTTTCTCTTGCTATGGATTAGAATTCAGAATGAAAAATGTGGAAATTCAGCTTTTCAAATATCGATTCAGTAGTACTAGTGTTCTTTACTCTTTCTTTGGCTATGGATAGGAATTTGGGATAAGAAATAAAGAAATTTAGCTTTTCAAATATCTATTTAATGCTAAATCAGTAATACCAGAGTTTTTTTATATTTCTCCAGCTGTGGAATGGAATTAAGAATAAAAAATGCAGCGATTTAGCTTTTCCAGCATCTAGTCTAAAGTGCTAGATTTGTTTATTTTCCTTCATGTTGATATATACAATTTGACCAACTTTGGTAATCACATCGCTTATATATCATTTACTGCGGTACATTTAATATACTAGCCATAAAAAGTCACGGGTGGAAGATTATGTTAATAATCCACCCGTCATAGATATAAATAGATACAGAATGTAAAATCTAGAGATCATCAAGAATAACTTACTATCCAAGTACTATAGTAAACTATTATGGAATGCACATAAATCAACATCTATATTCTTTACTTATTTAACCTCGATATAAGTTCGAAAAGTGTAGAAAAAATTCATGATTAATATGATGATTTAAAGTGAGTAAGCAACAATCATTACATGCACAATCTAAAGCGCAACGTGCATAAGAAATATGAAAATATCTTGACAATAATTTAATGGCATTCTGGAATGTATAAATCAACACTAATATTTTTACCTGTTTAACCGTAAAGAGTGTTGTCATATCATGCAAAAACACAAGAATAATGCAATGATTCGAAAATAGGATATCCTATTCTAATACTGGTAAACTATTATGGAATGCATAAGTCAACATCACTATGCTTACTTATTTAGCCATAACGTAAGTTATATCATAGAATCATGATTTAAAATAGGTAGGCAAGATACATGCATGACTTGCAGAATCTAAAATCTATCGTCCACAAGAAACAGGACTACTATAATGTTATGATAAGCTGTTGTTGCTACATGAGTAACGTCAAGATCCATCTTTTTACTTTTTTAGCCGTAATAGAAGCCTTCAAGGCATAGAAAAGGCAATTATCTTCTTTCCAAAATACAGTACACGATATTTCGTCACAAAACACCAATCGGAGTTCGAAGAGAATAATGTAATGATTAAAAATGGATGAGCAAGATCATTCTTATTGTTGTTTACACGATGTCGGTATATAATATTACCTAAATTAGGTGTCTTCAATTCCTTCTAGGAATTTTATCAACAGAAATAAAACTACGGACACATTGCTAGTGATTGCCGATGAAATAACTCAACTATCGCCATCTTTGCGCAAGTATTATGACTTTGCTTTCTCCGTCGTCGAGATGGATGAAACGGACTAGGTTAAGTACACCATCTCTAGAAATACCATTTCCATAAACTAATTAGATGATATACTAATCTCAGCAGATCATGATGATAAGTAAAAGAAATGGATATCAATATTCTGCTTCGGATGAACGCTGCTTTTAGCGATCAGTTTTAAATCACCCGATGTGTCAAGTTTCCGTAGCCGCTTTCTACAATAAGCATGGAAATGAATGCAAGTAGATTATACTTTCAGAGAAATTTTCGAAGTTTGCTTCAGGTTTTACGATCTTCATCATATTATCACAAGGCAGGAAATAAAATTCCGTAATGAATAAATAGTATGCATGATAGCAGATTTAGAAGTGGTCGTAATCTTCAATCTTTTCTCTATATCCTTTATGCAGTCTTATTACCCTGTTCTGGCCTGGCTTTCATTTAAAGTTGCAAATAGAAGTAAAGCATCATCATGGTCTTATTACTTTAAAGCATGAAAATGAATGTAACTAGGTCATCCATGTTATCCAACAAGATTGTCAAGGGTTACCACTTCGATCCTAATGCATCCATTTAAGCAATGAAAATATTGAAATGAGTCCATTGCATTAACGGATTTATGACGATTCCTTTACTCAATTGTCAAGACTTGTAAATTATTTCCTTATGTATAGCGATCTTAGCATCCATAATAGCTTTTTGACTCCGTTTAAGCCTTGCTTTATCTCAAAGTTTTAAATTCATTCTAGCGATGATTTCTAATACAGCTAAGTTTACACCGGAGTTAAAGCTTTATACGCTCTGGGAATCACTTGAGGTATGGCATCACTGCGCTCTGGCTATTTTAGGCAGAAAAATGAATGCAGGTGGATCGTACTTTATTACCCTATTCAACAAGATTTTTAGAGGTTGCCTTTGCCATTGCATTGACAGATTGCGGCCGATTGATTGATCCGCATGTCAAGATATTAAATTATTTCCTTATAGGATAACTATTACCTTAAATACCTCTATATAGCCTTGTTTCAGTTCGCTATTAATATTATGGCGGTCAATTTTCTATACACTATCTTTGACAGCATTCTCGATTCTATTCGTATGACCATCAAATCACCATTTTCGCATTCTACATATCGCTTCAAAATGAATACTCGATCTTGTTCAATTCAAACTAATGAACAAGACTAACAAATAGCTATTATCTTATACAATATCAATATCTATCCCTGATTGATCAGGCTATAACCTTAATCAACTATCGTATAGTTTATTAACGTTTCTTTCCATAACAATTGTGCATCATGATGTTCATGCAAAATGATCCTAATGAACATTCCCTTCCTTGACAGATTCATGTTTGATGCTGTAAGTTTGTATGGACATCTTCAAGGCGATTCTTCATAGCGCTTTTAAAAATGAATACGCCATGCCAGTATCTATCCTGTCTACAACCTTGACCAACTATTATGGAGCGCATTAACATCCCTTTCCATGACAATCGACCATCATGGTGTTCATGCAAAATAGTACTAATGAACATTCCCTTCCTTGACAAATTCAAGCTTGATACCGTCATGGAGTTCATTAACCTCCCTTTCCATGACAATCGTCAATCATGGTGTTCATGCAAAATAGTGCTAGAGAATATCTCCTTCCTAGATAGATTCCTATTTGATACTATCAGTTTCTATTGTTATCTTCAAGCTAATTCTTCATATCACTTTTAAAAATGAATACTTGATGCCAATGTCTATCCTTGCCGATCAAGATATAACCCTAATCGGCAACCATGGTGTTGATAAACGTCCCTTTCCCAGGCAATCGACTTTCATGGTGTAGATGAACATCCTTTTCCTTAACAACCCATCATTATCATAGTGTTCATAAACAGCCCTTTCCTTGATAATCGATTGTCGTGGTGTTAATAAACATCCTTTTTCTTGACAACCGATCATCTTGGCGTTCACAAATAGCTCTGTCCTTCGATCCTCGATTATCACGGTGTTCATAAACATCCTATTCCTTAGTAAGATTCATCTTGAATATGTTGTATTATCATCTTCAAGATAATTCTTTGGATCGTCTAAAATATGAATCCTCGATGCCAAATATCTACCCTTCATCGACCACCCATCATCATGGCGCTATTCGACACCCTTTCCCTTATTGAAATTCCTATTGAAGGTGATAGCAATGGCTTCGAAAATGACAGTCATAAGAGTTAGTTTTCGTCAGATTCGATTCAGGAAAATGGCCATTTTTTCCCCCAATTGACTCACTCTCTCTCTCTCTACCCTGGACTAAAAAACATGTTGAAAGATATCCATTTACACTTCTACTAGGCCAAAAATAGAAACAAAATTAATCCTTTCCTCTCTGACTATTGAAATAATAATAATCTATTACCAAGCGATTGATTGATATCGAGTATGAAGAATAATAAAGTTGGCTTATTGCAATTTAAGATCAATATTGACTTTTCTTTGGCCTCTCTTATCGACAGAAAGAAACAGTCAGTCGATAATTTCCTACCAGCTAATACTCTATCGAGTCGATGGAAGACATGTTGCACGCTATAGCCAACAGCCATTACAGCAGTGATGAGTAGGTTAAAATAGGGACTGCTTATGAAAAATTAATGATGATGATTGTGCTTGTGTTCTTTACTATGGTGGATATCCTTGGATTGTTTCTTTTAGCTTTATCCTCTGACAACAACAGAAACACTATCGACATCATGTAGGCCACAGTGTGCAGGTGCATTTTCTACAGAGTTCTTGAATAGAATCATTCTGTCCTTTTGTGCAAGAAAATGGCTATTGAATTGAATATTAGCCCTTTAGAATATCGACGATAGGACGCCATTGTCTTCTTCAGCGACCAAGAAGGGGATAGCACAATGAGAATACTATTCTAAGTTCATTTTCTACAGCATATTAAATTCTACAACTTAGTTTAATACATTTCTCTCCCATAGTAAGAGTGGAATTCTTACACTTGAGATCGATTTATCCATTGATCAGGATAGGAAGATTGTAATAAGTTTAGGCCGATCTCTTCACTTACAGGCTTAGTCGCAAAACGAGAATGGCCTTTTAATGGAGTAACTACTACCTCTACGAACTATCGTTCCATTCGATCTACTTCCATTCTCGCTGGTATTTTCTTGATCCATTTTTTCTCGCGTAAGGTAAGACAAATACTTTAATATCATCAATTTTTGACGTTGACAAATTCAGACTGTAATAAAGATGAAAATCTTGACCGACGGATGGAGGAAAAAGTTCGCCCTCGGCTTACGCCGTACACGTAGCTTGAATAAAAAAAGTGGCAAAAATATCGCTGTCCCTATGCCTGTAACTATTAAATTCGATATCATGCCCATCCATTTCCCAAATGGCAGATAGTATTTAATTAAAAGAATAATAATTAATTTAAATAACTCTCATGGTCTCGTATTTGATTGCTGCACTAGAAAAGTATTGTTACTTTGATCTATCCATTAACGGTAAATTGTTTAAAGGGACAAGATGGATTCCAATTTATTCCTTGAGGGTTTAAACTCCAGTTCAACACGTCTAAACTAGTCAGTATTTCTTCACTCTACTTTACTATTTTAATTCTGTTCTCATGGATGGGATTCTATTACACTTTAGAATTAGACATAAATTAGTAATAATCAAGTCCACGAGGTTAATTCTTTGAGGTAGCCAAGGCGTGATCTTTATCATTTAGCGAAGTTCTTCACCATCCATGGACTGCATGCTATCGTTCTCGAGTTGAGATATCACATTTCCAGTTAGTTCTAGACTCATTCAAGCCAAAGGATCATAAAATATCTTTTCCCACTTTAGATGAATATACAGAGTTTACTTCTATTCACCAGTCGAGATGATTCTAACCTCATTGGATATCTTATCTGGACAACTCTATGATAATTCCAGTTTTCTCTCAAATGAGGAATCAGCATTGATTGATTCTATTACCTTGTGTAGTAATTTCTACTCTATCTTCCTATCTCCTTAATCAGATTGTTACAAATTGGACAATCCTTTTATCAGAGTCTTCACCATATTGGACACTTTCAATCAAATTAAGATCGACTCCAAATAGATTCGTTTTCGACAGTGGAATTCTATTCAATCACTTTAGTATTTCAGCTTGAATATTCAAGCAAGCATTGACTGAAAATAGATTCATTTTTAACGTTGATATTCCACTGAATTACTTTAGGATTTGGAATGAATTCAAATTAATATTAATACAAAATTAGATCACTTTTAAGCAGCAGAATCACTTTCATATTTAAACTATAATTCTAATGAATGTCAGCTCGAAATTACTTGAGTATTTCAGTTAGAATTTAGATTGACATTGACTCAAACAGATTCGTTTTTGACACTGGAATCCCATTAAATTACTTTAGGATTATCAAATAGAATTCAAACTAGTATCGATACAAAATCGAATCATTTTTGGACAGCGGAATTATTTTTACATTTCAACTACAATCCAGTGAATGTCGGCTCAAAATGACGTTACTATTTCAATTAAAATCCGAATGAATATTGACCCAAATGGATTCGTTTTGACGTTAAAATTTCATTAAATTACTGTAGAATTTAAAATTCAACTCAAATAAGTATTGATACAAAATTGGATCATTTTTGGACTACGGATTCACTTTCATTTTCAACTAGAATCCAAATGAATGTCTACTCGAAATTACTTGAGTATTTTTAACTAGAATTCATATTAACATTGACTCTAAATAAACTCGTTTTGGACTGTGGAATCCCATTGAATCACTTTAGGATTTCAAATAGAATTCAAGTTAGTATCAATGCCAAATCGGATCATTTTTAGACGGCGTACTCACTTCCATTTTTCAATTGGAATTCAAACGAATGTCTGCTCGAAATTAATGGAGTATTTCTATTAGAAATCACAATTAGAATTTGTAAGGCTCACTGGAAAAGGACTGGTTTTTGACAACGTAATCCCATTAAATCACTTTTCTATTTCAAGTAGAATTCGAATTGGTATCGATACAAAATCGGATCATTTTTTGACAGCGTAATCCCTTTAAATCACTTTTCTATTTCAACTGCAATTCAAATAAATATCGACTCGAAATCACCATATAGTATTTCTATTAGAATTTAAATTAATACCGATTCGAAATTTTATCATTTCACTCATTGCGACGTCCCTTTAAAATCACTTTCCTATTTCTACCGGAATGAATATTGGCTCGAAATCACTTTAGCATCTCGATTAGAATTCAAATTAATATTGATTAGAAACTTTTAATTATTTTCTTTAGTAGTGAAATTTCTTTAAATCGTCTTCCTATTCCAATTAGAATTCCAATGAGCATCGGCTCTAAATCTCTTTAGTATCTTCATTAGAATTTAGGCTAACATTAACTCAAAACAGATTTGTTTTTGGACCGTACAATTCCATTGAATCACTTTAATATTTCAATTAGAATTTGAATTAGTATAGCTTTAAATGAGATCGTTTTTTAATATTCCACTGTTCTATTTCAACTACAATTTAAATGCATTCCGGTGGGAAATTACAGGAGTATTTCAATCAGAAAGTCAATTAACATTGACTTAAGATAAGTTCGTATATGGGCGGTGGAATCATCTTGAATCATATTTGCTTTTTAATCAGAATTCAGATGAATATCAGCTCGAATTCACCCTAGTATTTCAATTAGAACTCCAGTAAACTCGATCTAAAATAGATTCATATATTAGTGGTGGATCCTCTTGAATCGCTTTCGTACTATAAGCTGAATTTGAATGAGGAATGGCTCGAATTCTAATTAGTATTTCAACTCACATTCAAATGAAGATTGACTCAAAATTGATTTATTTTTTGGTTATGAAATCTCATTCAATCTCTTTCTCACCTTCATTAGAATTCGAATTAACATCGATTCAAAATTGATTCGTTTCTGACTCTGCAATCTCACTGAATCAATTTACTATTTCAGTTAGAATTCAAATAAAAATCAACTTGGAAACGCTTTTCTTTTTTGATCTGGATCCAAATAGTGCTCAATTTCCCTAGTACTAGTCCATATTTGACTTATTTCTAAACCATCGAGAATAGCCTGACAGAAAAGGTCGATAGCGATCTATATTCTACGTCGTTAGCCTTTCTATTATTCAATCTTAAATTCCAATTCGATATATGAGAATCTACTCTTTTCTACATTCTATCTGATGATCAACTTTTTGACGGCAAAGTTCAATCTTACTACAAATAATACTTATTTTCCTACCGGAAAATACCTTTGCAATAAATAGTCTCAATACTAATTAAGATTTCTAGTTTATTCCTAGTTCAAACTGGAGCCATTTTGAATCTCTCGCTTCAATAATCAGCTTTCTGCTATCAGTTTAGATCGTTCGTTGGCAAAAAGCGAATTGACAACGATTTTATAAATGAAATCAAAACTCACTCTACTTCCAGTTTCAATCGTTAGTTAATATGGAGCTGACCTACGATAATTCTATGTTAGCACTTAGAAGTCACGTTACTCTTCTTTCAATTTCGATCATTAGTTAGTAAGAAGCGGACCTACGATAATTCCATGTTAGAATCAAGTTACTTTGCTTCCAGCTATGATCATTAATTGGTAAGAAGCGGATCTACGATAATTCTATGTTAGAAATCAAGTTACTCTAATTTTAATCTCGATCATTAGTTAGTAAGGTCCGGACCTACAATAGTTCTATATTAGAAACCAAGTTACTTTGCTTCCAGTCTTGATAGTTAGTCAGTAAAGAGTGTAGCCACAATAATTCTATGTTAGAAATCCTGTTGCTTTGCTTGCAGTTTCGACCATTAGTTAGTAAAGAGCGAAACTATAATAATTTTGTGTTAGAAATCAAGATTTTTTGCTTGTAGCTTCGACCGTTAGTTAGCAAAGAGCGAACCTACAATAATTCTACGTTAAAAATAAAATTATTTTACTTGCAATCTCGACCATTAGTTAGCAAGAAGCAAACCTACAATAATTCTATATCAGAAGTCAAATTATTTTGCTTGCAATTTCAACCATTAGCTAGTAAAGAGAAGATCTACAATAATATCATGTTAAAAATCGAGTTTCTCCGACTTCTACTGCCAATGGATCCAACCAATTGATGATATAAAAAAATAATATCTCCTCGGCGTAGAATCAAAATAGACAACTACATGCACCGCTTGATGATACTAAAAGTAGCTAATCCTTGAATCGATCATTAGAATATCCCGCCGGTTCCAGCCTAATGATCAGTGATTAGAGAAAAAATTAGCACCATCTTCTGCTCTATTAGAATTGAGCCTATTCAATTTTCATCAAGAATAATAAAAGTGGCAATGAAATGAGTATTATGAATCCTGTAATCGAACCCAATAAGAGTTCTTTTTGATTGACAGAAGTGAAAATGTCAAGACAAAAATAGAGTAGAATAGAGTGGCCTGGATTTTATCCAATTGAAGAGTTTTATTCGTCGGAATTAAATCTCAACTCAGTTATAGAAAGCATTCCGATAAGTAGAAATAGAAAGTATATTTAAGAACCTCCAATCATTCATTCCTTCTGTCTAATGACTGGAATCAATGAAATAATTCGAATGAATAATGATCCACTTCTATTTTTTGTCTAGCAAATGAAGTCAAAAAATTAGATCATTTGTCTGTTTGAGTTTTTGATCTGCTCTCGTACTTTCTGTGAAAGCCTTTGAAAATTTTCGAGGATGATCTATCCCAGTTCGAAGCAGCGCTAAGGATCGCTTCTATATGTGGGTATACTAACCAGTGAAGAAGTCCAGCATCTAAAATAATCCCTACAACTTGACAATGAAAGATTAATCGACTAAAATAAATTTTATATTTATTTTTAGATTCTAATTGGAATTAGTCCCAAACACTTTATTGACAAAGTTGAAAATAGTAATATTATCTATTTACGTTCTTGTCGAAGCTATAATTTAGTAATTACTGCACTTAAACTCAAGATAGTTCAATTCTTTTTGGCATACTTAATTTGCTAGGAATCCGTTGATTGCCCGACTGTTGACGGAATCCATACCTCTCTACTGAACAAGTAAAATTATCCATTATCCAATCTCACTACTATCAAATACTACTGCAAGAATAGTCACCAAAGCTGATGAACCAAAACATTATTCATCATCCAACCTTCGTATCATAAAATACTCAAGTTTACACGCTCATAAAACGCTTACTATCGTCTGAGGTCCATTTCCAAAATTGCAATCTCAGGCCTACAAGTTAGTATCGCGCTCATTATAGTCTGCCATTCATTTCCAAATTTATAATTTCTGTTAGAGTATTAGCAAAGGTTGGTAAGCTAAAAGATTATTAACTATCTAACCTCAGCATCGTAAAATACCAAATCTGATACCCTATTGTGAACAGATTTTATAGCTCCTAACGATTAATTAATAAAAAAATAATCATGGCCGGAGATGAAGATGCTTTACAGTGTGAACCAGTGCAACAAGGCAGTATCAAATCTAGTCAAAGCAATGATCACGGAGAATCAAGTAGCCATGTTGATAAAGCAAGCAAAACTACTGGTGGTAGTAGTAATATTAGGAAATATCAAGAAAACGGCAATCAATTGCTACCTAAATGGCAGCTCTTACTTGTCAGTTGCACCATTTATGCTACCCAATTTTCGTATGCCATTGCTACTGCTTATGTTATCCCCATATTTTATAAACTAAATATGAACATGACTTTTGCCAGTATGATTTGGTCAATTAGTCCCATTTTATGCTTAATATTTCAACCCAAAGTGGCCATCTTAAGTCATGGTTGCCATAGTCGAATGGGCCGTCGAAGGCCATTTGTATTAATTTTCGCTGTTGGTGTAATTATTGGACTTATTTTTATTGCTAACGGCGAATCGATTGGTCGCCATGCTCACACTGACAATGATCACTACCATCCATGGGGAATCGTTTTTACTGCTTTAGGCGTTGTTTTAACTGATTTTTCAACTGATACCTGTCAAATTGCAACGCGATCCTACATGTTGGATGTTACTCCATCAACTCAGAGACAATTCGCAATTAATCTCTTTGCTGTCGTTGCTGGCTTTGGCAGCTGTTTGGCGTATATGTTAAGCGGTAAGTCAACTATAAAATGCGTTCGAAGTATAAAATTCAATTTATCACTACTTTAAACCTTTTCATATCGTCCTTTCTCACAATAAAATGTCATAGCTATTAAGATGAATTACCTACCGTTATTAGTAACATTTGTAGATATAAAATTGTCATTTACCTTTCTACTTAATCCCTAAATCCCTAATGGTTTTATTTCCTTTCAAGGAATAGTTAGTTGAGAGGAATCAAATACAGTATGAATATCAAATTATAAGCAGTAATATTGGCAGACATCTAAGCAATTTATCACTATTTTTGCTTATTTAATACAGTATATTATTACTTTCAATGAATACTGTAGCTATTAAAGGAAGTACAAGTATATGGTATAGGCACAGCGATCTAAGGCAATAACTTGCACAGATATGAAATTATGACTTACAGTCATTTTGATGCATTCTTATTCCTTTTGATGAATAGCTATTGACTGGCTATATACACTAGATGATCAAATTCAAGTGGTCTTCAATATTGCCATTATTATGTTTGTTATATGTACTGGATTAACCTTAATCAGCATGAGAGAGCCGAGTACTCGTCCCTCAAGAGGCTTAACTAATATGCAAGGAGGCAACCGCTCAAACGGTTATAGCAATAATCATACATATCAACAGCTAGAAACGGATGAAAACCAAGCGAATCGGAAAGAAAAATATCAACAAGGCGAAAGTAATTCTTCCGCAGAAAGACGAGATAATAACGAAGAGGAGGATGATGATGCAGAGAGTTATGATGAAATTACAGACCAAGATTTAAATGATTCACAGCCCATTACTTTCTTTCTCATTCTAAAATCATTCTTGACGATGCCTAAACCATTACTATTACTATGCATCACTCAATTCTTTGGTTGGTCTGCGTTTGTTAGCTATCAATTATTTTTTACTCAATATGTTGGCCAAGTTATCTATATTGATAATCACAACATTAATTTTAATTTCAACATTAATCAAACCTATTTTAAAACTGGTATCCAATTGGGTTGTTGGGCCTTGCTGTTACATTTCATCTCATATTCTATATTGGCTTTCCTGATGAAATTCATCATTAATTTGATTGATATTCGTATTGTTTACATTCTGAGCCAGTTTACATTTGCAGTTGCTATGGCCATTATTGGTAGTGTAGCCAATACTTCCGCCGTTTTAGTTTTATCGGCACTGTCAGGATTACACTTGGCAGCTTTAATTTCTTTACCCTTTATGTTGGTCTCAAGCTATCAAAACTCTGTCAATGCTAAGGTAAATCTTTTTAATTCTCAATTCTTGTTCTAACTCAGCCTTAGCGTAGTATTAGCCGTCAGCTTCCATAATTTATGTATGTATATCATCAATTTTCACAACCGTTCCACTAGTATCGATGAAGAGTTAGTAGAAATTTTAGAAATTTCTACTCTATATATAGTTTTTAACTAATTTTTTACACATAAATATACCTAATAGCCAAAAACATCAGATAATTTGTTGAGTGCCAATAGTCATTTCTGCAGAAAAATCAAAAAATTAACAAATTTTTACAGTTACAATTAGGCAATTTATCAATGTTTATTTAATGGTCAAATTCTAGATAATCTGATTTAACAAGTTGTACTCATACCGCATTTCATATCCCTGATTAATATATTAACTTATAAAGAAGATTTATCTTGAATTAATAGAGTTTCATAAATTATATCTAGGATGATTTAATTATTCAATGTTGACGAGTATAATGATCAATGATGTTGTGATATTACCTTGAAGTAGGCAAGTTCTTGATCTCCTTCATGTTTACTTTATTTAATTTTAGACCAACTTATATATCGTAGTGAAATAATTGTATATATACTGTTGCTTCCTTTAGATTTTAAATTATTACTCTATTAAATCACAAATTTGAAATAGACGAAGTTTACCTCCATAATACGCTCTTAACTTTATTTAGGGTTGGATTAGGGTTAGCTTGTACAATACATTATAAAGTTGAAATAGTCAAGTTCTCACTTCCGTAACTTTGCCTTCATTCAGTTCTAACCCAATTAGCTTACTACATTCTGTATTGAAATAACTTTATTATAAATAAGTAAATTTAATATCGATAATTGTATCCCATCGATATTTAGAATTCCGAAAGAGAAACATTGGGAGGTGGTAAAAGTTTTTTTATACCTCAATGGCGAATCGATTTATTTATAGCTGCATTAACAAGTCTTGCTTATGTAGCACAAGCTGTGGTCTGCCTTATCATGGGAGGTATCATTACTGCTAGCGGCACATATAATGCCATTATTGTAGTAGCTGGTGTTTTAGCTGGTCTTTCTACTATTTGCTCTATCATTTTAGCTGTTAATGTCTCGCCTACTTGTTGCAGTCAATACAACGATCCTGATCATTTTTCTCCTATGTATACTCGATAAGGAATATTAATATGTTACTATAATGACCCAATACATTAGAGAAAACTTGAATAAATTGCATTAATGAATTGGACTTTAATTTTTCTTCGTTACTTTGAAAGTATTGGATGACTTTAAGTTAACTTAAATCTCTATAGATATTAAATCTTCTAACTTAGATGATTTAGATAACAGATTAAAGTTTGCATTACAGTGTATATGAGATTAAGCATCATCTATTTCATATTATATAGTTATAAGTAAATAATACGTATTTGCTCTGCTATCCCTTCAGTTATTATAAAATAAGGATATGAATATTTATGATTACCGCAAAGATCCAGTTCTTCCTGTAACGATTTGTCCTTTTGTAAGCTTAGCCCAGAAATATTTTAATTGAGATCTTATTTTATAGCCTATGATCACTGATCAAGCTTGTCCTGTTGATATAAAGTAGTCAACATGTCTTCTATTTTAATGACAATTTGAACAAGATGAAAGATTGCCTATTTTAAAATAATTAAATATTTCATTTTCATCATTTGTTTCTCATGAAATACAGTTTCGTTATTAATTATTACAACTGAAGCGATTGTTGACGTTAAAAAAATAAATAGATTTACTGATGGTAAATCTTATGTCTATTTAACTATTATTAGGTATTAATTATTATTAGACATTACTAATTTCTGTATCAAATATTATTTTCATGACTTCTTGATTTTATCTTCGACATATTTAATACTTTACTCGATGCTGCAATCTATAGCAATATGTTATCGGGATATGAGTATCGAATTAAATTACCAAATATAAGAGAAGTTAAAGAGCTTTTAGCACCACTACAAGTCTATGATCTTTACTTATTCATCTGATAAATGATCATGAGTACTTATTTATCGATAGACTTAGATCGTATATATACATAAAATTCATAGAATTTTTTAAAATATCCAAGTTGTACTATAAAATAATCATGAGTAGTTGCTAGTTACGGGATTACTAGTAGAAAATTTGAGAAGTTGGGGTGTATGGAGTTGCACATAAAGATGACTATATGGATATCGTGCGTTATAATCTCTGGACATAATTTATATCGCATTGCATGCGACATAAGACCGTTTCGTAAATGGACAATACTGTATATAATAGATACATGCCAAAACCGCAACAGAAATTCATGCATAATAACTTACACCGTTACAACATACACATATCGTCAGCGATTAAGTGATAGATTGTTGAACTAGTACATGCATATAAAAGTCGTCAAACTTTTTTAAGCAGCTAACTTCTAAGTTACTATGAATAATTGCTATTTATTCAATTAATAGTAACGAATTTTTATTTCACGAAAATAATCAAGACCTTATATATTAATCCTCTACACGTTAATAATTTATGATTGTTTCTCTTAGACGGATCATTTTGAACGTAGCAATACATAAAATTTATCACACATCATTAGGCACTCTGAATATGAATAAAGACATAACTGCACAAATTTCGTTTAAAACGCCGGAAAAAATCATAGCTGCTCTAGATGAATGAACTAAGGAAACTATCACGCCGAGACTGCAACCTGTAATGATGCAGGCCAAATTTATACCAACAAAGAATAATGAGACATCTAAACCAAGTTCTCTAAAATTCCATCGATTATCTTTAATTTTCTAGAAATAGAATAAGAGTAGCGATCATCATAATGTAAAGTAGTAATATTCTATAAAGATCGAATTTCAAAATAATCCATTAACATATTTGTATACCGCGAAATAATGATGATAAGAAGCTAGAATGGAAAATATTAAGGTATAACCACTAGAAAATCCAATTCCTTGAAGAGCAACCATACAGAGGACTACGATAACTTGATTGGTTAGTCCTATGACTAATGCTCCGATACCACCAATTGAAAATCCAATCGCTAAAATACGATCTACAACTGCAAGAATAAACCTACACTTTAAACTAGAAAGTTATCTGAAATATTTTACTATTATAATAAGATCCTTCATAAAAATTTCGAGATATCTATGTATTTAGTTTAGCCTCTAAGTTTAAATAAAGTGCTGTTTCTTGACTTCTAATGAATATCGTCAATTCTAAGGACCTCCTTAACGACTATCATAATGATTTTCATACATAATACATGTAGATAGTATTCTATTTGCCTTCAGAAATAATTAAGTTAAATATTTGTTTCATGGTGAAGAAATATTCCAAATTTATTTATTAGATACTCGTTAAAATGTTAGTTAGTATAGTGCTTATGATGCTCATATATTAATTGTAATTAACAGTCTTTAGATAGCTTAATTGTATACCTACTAATATTAAAATTTATCATGTACTCGTATTTTATTTTGCAGTTAGTTACGATTTCTGGCTGCCATGATGAAATTAATTAACCGTAAATAAATTCTATTCACACTACAACGGCTATAAAGAAATAAAGTATCCACAATTAATTTACACACAAAATTAAGATTTTAAATTACCGATATATTTTGTTATTCGCTCGAGCGCCAAAGAATATACAATGGATAAAATAGTGCAGCCTAGTAAGCCCCAGCTTCCAACAGAGACACCACGGTTATAGCGATGCAAAGCTGTCGAATTTTCCGCTGCTAGAGGATTACCATGATAGATTGATTGGCCTACAAAATCAGTTAAGAAACTGGTGAATCCAATATATGATGAACTGCTAAAGAAACTTATCATCCACAAGATGAATAATTCCTTGGGCATAGTTTTAGCAAAGTAATAAGTCTGATAGAGATGATTCCAACTACTTATTTCTTCTGCTGTGAGTGCTTGTGGTTTATCTTCAGTTGAAACGTTTATTGTTGCCATCTGATCGTTTTGTTTAACAGATGACTGGATAGAATCAGAAGTCTTACTGTCCATAGTAGAAATTTTTAAATCGTTGCTACTTTTTCTACTTGATAATTTATAGGTTAATGCTTCGGTAGAATCAATAATAGCGTATGGAAGCTCGGTATAGCTTATTGTAGCAATTAACATCACTACAATACTTATTGTAGCTATTAAAATGAAAACTACTTCGACTTGTCCTCCGAAAACTTTAGCTAATGGCGTTTCTCTCCAATCAATCCTATATCAATAAACATAAGTATACTACTAGCTTAGTAATGAATTAACTAATATAATCTGTCAATATCGTTTTAACTAAATATTTTAAAATTGAAATAAGATAATATTCGATGTCAAGATAGGTAGCCTCATCTTGTCAAAGTTTACTATTCTATCGACATTAGATTGGAAACTAACCCACTAATCACAGTAACGGTAATAGTTCCAATGCCTGCCGAGCAAGTTATTAAACTGTTAGCAATAACTTGCATATCATTCGGAGCAGCTTCTATTACGAAAGCTCTAGTCGGTACGAATAGTATAAAACAACATGCCATGTCTATAATCAATCCAATGATGAGTAAAATACGTCCTATTAGTAAATGATGCGGCCATAGCTTATCACCGATTATTCGACATAGGATATCATCGCAGCAGATATTAGATTTATAATAAATAAAACTACGATAAATGGCCGTCGTCTTCCAATCCGAGAAGTACATTGATCAGATAAATTACCGATAATTGGACTTAAAAATAATCCGATAACAGTTGCAATAATCATAGGAATCAGTGTCAGTCCAATAGGTATTCCTAGTTTTAATTGCAACGGTACAGCAAAGACGCTATAAAATTTATACAAAACTTCAGGCGGAAATGATGCAAGTGATAATATCGCTAGTTTGATTAGTAATCTCTTATCATATTTTGAGTTTGATTTAAGTTCTTGTGTTTCATCCTCGCTTCCATCATGATTATTGTTGCCGTCCAATTCTTGTATTCTATGAATGTCGTTCTCGTCTCTAGATTGATCCATTAAGAAATGATAATAAAAGTAAATAATTAAAATATTAAGAAAATGATTTTGTTAGCTTCCGCCTTAGATAAATGTTGAAGGATTCATTGAGGATAGTAATTATATAAAGACATAGAGAAACTACAGCTAACACAAGCTAATATTCTATCATATAGACTACAATTAGGTAAACATATGTCGCTTTATAGAATATAAGCAGACAAAGCCTAATAACAATCAAGTGAATTAAGTGCGAATGGATCTAAAGTAATATTCAGAATATGTCATTATCGAGAAAATCTAAAATAATACCGTCCGACTTCTTGATTGGTAACACTGCAGTGACTGGCACCTACCAGGGATTTCTAAAAGTCCCTGTATATACCATACTGTACTTTATACTTTTACACCGTATTCGGATGCACAAAATGCAGAACAATCAATCAATTTTTCTTTCCTGCTATATTATGGTCTAATTTATTAAGATATACTGTAATTTTGAGCTTCCATAAATTTCACTTTCAGTGGCTTAATCAAGCTATCATATCAAAAGGGGATGGTGAATAACGTGCATAAAGTAGCATCTACACAGGCAGTGATCAAGATAATTACGATTTAGCAATTTATCCAACGAACTTCTCAATCCATGCAACTTCGTTACACTGCCACCACATAATTTGATATTAAAGAATGATCGTATAGCTAGTTACGAGATTGCTAGTAGAAATTTGACAAGTTGAGGCGAATATTATTATTATTGGTGTACTTCCCTATTATATTTTTATGTTGATAGCATAGAATATTTGCAATGAAAGTACTGTATATATATTTGATCAGCCAGTTCTCTAGACGATTATTGATTACTATGTTACATTTATTTTAGGAGGTATTTATGTGTACTGTACACCAAACAGCAAATGTATCGCGCCCACCCTTAAAATTTTCATCCTGTTTCCTCTAAAACAGGGAGCACTTTGTACTTTATGGTATTTCGAAATTGTATGTGAGGTACATTACTTCCGTAAAATTGATGTTAGGATAGAATGTACACGTATGGCTTTTCTCCACTGTAATTTAACCAAAGTTAAAAAGACAAAAATATTATTTCAAAATTAGGTTCGAGGATATTATATAATTTAATGGTATACGCGATTATCGGAATCTCACGAATATTTCCGCTGTCCTTCACATCAAATTAATAAATCTTCAGTTACTGGTCTGTAGGCTATATTATATATTACGTTATGCGACTATTCGGCAAATTAAAAGTTATGATGTTTCGAAAGGTTGAGAGTTCGGCATTAGTTGCAATAACGTACAATAGAATAGTTAACGGAAGAGTAACCTTTATTGAGCTAGTATAAGAGAATAACCGTGTAAGATTATCGTGCTAGTAAAGACGTGACTAGTTGAATAACTATAGTAGTGTAGAATAGGTAAAGCGTGCAAGCTTACTATGTAACTACCAGAGCAAACTAACGAGATAGATTTAAGATAGCTTTTATAATGTTAGGAGCACAGCAGGAAGAAATTATTTATTGGCGAGAATGACTCATGAAAATAGGTTACCTCTATGTTAAGCTAGTGCTACATTATAAATTGGCTAAAGTACAAGATATTTCTACAGAGTAAATTGTTAAATATGCAGTAGATCATACATATTTAGAGTTATGTTATAGTCTTAGAATTATGCTACAGTCTAGTGAAAACTAATACTTTACTAAAAATAAACTATACCGTATTTAGAAGTAAACGCTACAAAAGTAATGAATTCTATTATTTCACGAAAATGATCAAGACTTGAAACAATAATCCTCCATAAGTTAATAATCAATAATTGTTTCCCTTTTAGATAAATCATTTTGGAAGTAGCAATACTTCATTACGCATCATTAGGCACTTTGAATATAAAAATACAATTAACTGCACATAGCCCGTTACAGATACTAGAGAAAATCATAGCTGCTCTGGATGAACGAACTAAGGCAACTATCGCTCCGAGAAAGCAACCTGTAATGATACAGGACAAGCTTAAACTAACAGTGAGCAAGGAGATATCTAGACCAAGTTCTCTAAAGCTCCATCGGCTATCTTTAATTTTCTAGAAATAGAATAAAAGTAATGACCATCATGATAAAAAGTAAGCCTTAACATCCTATTAAGATTGAATTTAAAAATAATCATAAGCATATTTGAATACCGTAAAATAATCATGATAAGAAGCCAGAATGGCAAAAAGTAAGGTATAAGCACTAGCAAGTCCAATTCCTTGAAGAGCAGCCATACAGAGTATTACGATGACTTGATTGGTTAGTGCTATGACTAATGTTCCAATACCAGTAACTGAATATCCAATCACTAAAAGAGGTACTGCACCTGCAAAAAATAACAAATACTTAATATTTGAAAGCTATCTGAAGTATTTTATTATAATAGTTGGATCCTTCTTAAAATATTTAGAAAAGATCTATATTTATTTAGCTTGGTCTCTGTTAAGATATTGTAATGAATCATAATAAAAACAGACTCTAGATCTGGCTATATTCAATTTACTACTATGAAATAGAAGCTACCAACTAGTAACCGAACAACAACTGAATTAATAGCGATATATTACCAAAGAACAACAAGAACCGATCTAAACAACAACTCTTTGTAAAAACTCTCCCCTGTGCTTAGCTTGCACAGCCTTAAATACCTTTTCTTTTATGTACTCATATTTAGTATAAGTTACTAAATATAGATAATTACACTAAATAAAGAGTCATATTTAAATCTTGACATTAAGACTAACGTCAGTCATTACATCAGCAGTAAACATCTAATATGGATATAACAGTCTTCAGATTTAAGAATACTGTGCTGTTTCTTGATTTCTCATTAATTTCGCCAATTTTAAAGGCCATCTTGACTACTATTTTAACGACTTTCGTACGTAATATATGTAGGTGGTGTTGCATTTGCTATTGACAATTAATACATTAAATTTTATTTCATGATGAAGGAATATTCCAAGCTAATTTAGAAGAGAGCTTATTTTCAATACCGCTATATAAATATTGCACTATTTACTCGTATTTTATTCCGTACTTAGTGACGATTCCCGCTTGTCAAGATAACATTAGTTACCCACAAATAAATCCTATTCAAACTATAGTAGCCCCGGCAAAATAAATATACATTGCTAATTTACGCTTATAATCAAGATTTGAAATTACCAACATATTTTGTTATTTGCCCGAGCGCCAATGAATATACAATGGAAAAAGCAGTACAGCCCAGTAAGCCCCAGCTTCCAATAGAGACACCATGGTTATAGCGATATAAAGCTGTCGAATTTTTCGCTGCTAGAGGATTACCATGATAAACTGATTGGCCAAGAAAATCAGTTAAGAAGCTGGTGAATGCGATGTACGCCGTACAGCTTAAGAAAACTCCCATCCACAAGATGACTAACTCCTTTGGCATAGTTTTAGCAAAATAATAAGTCTGATAGAAATGATTCCAACTACTTATTTCTTCTGCTGTGATTACTTGTGGTTTATCTTCTGTTGAATCATTTGTTACTTCCGTCTGATCGTGTTGTATAACCATTAACTGGACAGGATTAGAATCCTCACTATCCATAGTAGAAATTTTTAAATCGTCGCTATTTTTTCTACTTGATGATTTATGGGTTAATGCTTCAGTAGAATCAACGATGACATATGGAACTTCTGCATAGCTTACCGTGGCAATTAGCATCACTATGATACATATTGCAGCTATTAAAATGAAAACTACTTCGACTTGTCCTCCGAAAACTTTAGCTAATGGCGTTTTTTTTTCCAATTGATCCTACGTTAATAAACATAAGTATACTACTAGCTTAGTAATGAATTAACTAATATAATCTATTAATGTAATTTTAACTTAATATTATAAAATTAGAATAAGATAATACTCGATGTCAAGATAGATATCCTCATCTTATCAAAGTTTACTATTCTATCGACATTAGATTGGAAACTAACCCACTAATCGCAGTAATAGCAACTGCTCCAATGCCTGCCGAGCAAGTTATTAAACTGTTAGCAATAACTTGTATATCAATCGGAGCAGCATCCATTACGAAAGCTCTAGCAGGCGATAATAGCATACAGCAGCATATCATGTCTATAATCAATCCAATGATGAGTAAAATACGTCCTATTAGTAAATGATGCGGCCATAGCTTATCACCGATTATTCGACTATAGGATATCATCGCAGCAGATATTAAATTTATAATAAATAAAACTATGATAAATGGCCGTCGTCTTCCAATCCGAGAAGTACATTGATCAGATAAATTACCGATAATTGGAGTTAAAAATAATCCGATAACACTTGCAATAATCATAGGAATTAGTGTCAGTCCGATAGGTATTCCTAGTTTTAATTGCAACGGTACAGCAAAGACGCTATAAAATGTATAGAAAGCTTCAGGAGGAAATGATGCAAGTGATAATATCGCTAGTTTGATTACTAGTCTCTTATCGTATTTTGAGTTTGATTTAAGCTCTTGTGTTTCATCCTCGCTTCCATCATGATTATTGCTGCTGTCCGCTTCTTGTATTCTATGAGTGTCGTTCTCGTCTCTAGACTGATCCATTTAGAAATGATACTAAAATTAAATAATTGAAATATTGATAGAATGATCTTACCAGCTACCGTCACAAATATAGACGAAATTGACTTGGAGAGGATAGTAATTATATAAAAATATAGAGGAATCACCGTTAACACGTGCAGATATTTTACCATATAGGCTATAATTAGGTAAACATATGTCGATTTATAGAATATAAATAGTCAAAGCTGAGTAACAATCAAGTGAATTAACTCTTAATGGATTTAGCAGAATATCCAGAACATTTTGCTAGAAATTATTGACTTTTACTATCTATTTCATTATTGTTGGTTAAAAATTTCATTAAATCGAACGACGGCTAAGCTTACAGCTCGTATGCTAGACATTTTCGATTTAATCTTAGCGATTATATAGCTATTAGTTGAAATTAAGCTAAGATCTTAATCAAAATTATAAATCTAAAGTAGATGCTATATTTAAATTGATAAAATTTAATAAAAAGTTAAAAATTATAAACTTGAAGTAAAGTGGCTAATTACAAAAGAAAAGCTATCTTTACATTGGAAATGTTTACTTTAGAAGGAACTGTATAGTAATATTATGGTATTTTTAACTCCATTTACAAAGCACTAGCTTGATTAATCTAAAAAATTTTTTAGATTCATCTCGATGATAGTATTAATAAAAAACTAGGAAAATACTTTGCGGTTATAAAGACCTTCATGTTGTATCATCGGATTTCACAATCAGCTATTATGTAGATCTACCTTTCAATAAACTCGGACAATATCTTATTATTTTATATCTAGCCGTAGAGCGTTATAATCGCTGGCTTGCAATATACCGAAAGCGTAAGTGAACTAATTTGATAAAATACCTTTACCATATAAACAGATACACGTAGTTACTACCAGGAAATGAACAAGATTTATTCAACTCTAAAATTCGACTATTATGCATCTTACTATCTTATCATCCTATGCTATTTAGTAAGCATGCAACGATCAATACAATATTGTTGAGAAAATATATTAAGGTCTTATTGTAGTTTTTTAAGAGGTGTGTTAAATGTAATTCCATTTTTCGATTAAGAGTACCCGTTGATAGTATAGAACGAGATACCGCTATCAGCTGCTATAATTATAAAGAAGCTATATAGCCATCAGCTTCTACGATGTATAATTCGCATACGTAATATATAGCTTATATACTATCCGTTTCGCCTACTATTTCAAGAGTAATCGATGAAAATTTAGCTAAAATTTCTACCTTGTATACAACTTTCAACCAATTCTATACATCAAGTTGTGTAATAATTAGAAATCTCTGATAATTTGTGAAGAGTTACTAATATAATCATTGTTTAGAGAAATTAAAAATGATAACGAATATTTACCGTATTGAATATTTATCGTAATGAATAAGACGATATGTCTAATGTTTGCTTAATAGTCTAGAGATCGATATTCTAATTTAACAAGTTGTACTAATATCACATTTTATGTCGCTAATTTATATGTCAAATAATAAAGAAAAGAAAATATCTTAAATTGATAGAATTCGTTAAGTTGTATCCACGCCATAAGATTTAATTATTCAATGTACTCATTAAAAATTATTTTAACTAAGATCTTATTTTACAGTCTTAGATAATCGCTGATCAAAGCTTGTCCTGTCAATATAAGTAGTAATCAATAAGTTTTCCAGTTTAATGATAGTTTGAAAAAGATCAAAGATTACTTATTTTAAAATAATCAGATACATTTCATTTTTGTCACGTGTTAAGCTCTGGAGACAGTATCGCTGTTAACTGTTAGTATTGAAGTAATAGTTCTTGACCAGTAAACTAAATAAATAGATATACTGAGCTTATCTCTTATGACAATCAACTATCATTTGATGTTATTGACTTTTCTATCAAATATTACTTTCACGAGTTCTTGATTTTATCATTGAGATAATAATACCGTACTGAGTAATGCATTTTAGAACTAAAATATTATTAGGATGTGAGTATCAAATCAAATTATGATTATAAGAAAATTTTAAAGAATCTTATAAGTGTGCCAGGTATGGAACTAATAACGGCTGTTTTAGAACTTGGAACATACACACATTAAATACCTAGAATTTCTGAATTATCAAAATTTTAAATGATCATAAGTAGTTGCTATTTATACAATGAATAGCAGTAAATTTGAGAACCCGAAACATGTGTATATTAAAGTCCTAGAATTTTTTAATTATAATTTTATCCCCTAAATGGTTGTGAGTAATTACTAGTTACGAATTTGATAGGTACAGATTTGAAAACTTAGGACTGCACATATAAAAGCCTGAGAATTTTTCAGTTAGCTACCTTCTAAATAGTCACGGGTAGCGGCCAATTATGCAGTTTATAGAAATAAATTCTCTAATTCACGAGAAATAATTAAGAACTAAAGTATAAATCTTTCATATGTTAGTAATAATGTTTATTCCCATAGATAGAGCATTTTTGCAGTAGCAATACTTTATTATGTATTATTAGGCACTCTGATTATGAAAATACAAGTAACTGCGCATAGTCCGCTAGAAACACTAGAGAAAATCATAGCTACCTTAGATGACTCGACTAAGGCAATTATCACACTAAGGCAACAACCTGTAATTATACAGGCCAAGTTCGCACTAACAAAGAGTAAAGAGATATCTAATCCAAGTTCTCTAAAATTCCATCGTTTATCTTTAGTTTTCTAGAAATAAAATAAAAGTAATAATCAAAATTAGGTAGAGTTTAATATTTTATCAAGATTAAATTTAAAAATAATCTATAAATGGCCTTGAAATACCGTAAAATAATTATGATAAGAAGCTAGAATAGCATAAGGCAAGGTAAAAGTACTAGCGAAACCAAATCCTTGAAGAGCAGCCATACAGAGGACTACGATAACTTGATTGGTTAGTACCATGATTAATGTTGCAATACTAGCAATTGAATATCCTATCAATAACAGACGATCTGCACCTGCAAAAATAACTAACTTATTATATTTGAAAGCTATCAGAGATATCGTGTAGAGATAATAATAAATCCTTCATAAAAATTTAGAGAACATATGTATATAACATAATTATCCTATATTTTAGAATACTATACTGTTCCTTGATTCTTTATCAATTTTATCGATTTCAAATACAATCTCGACGACTATTTTTAGCTACTTATATAGCATATATATTACGTGTAAATAGTGTTACATTTTCTATTGGTAACTATTAAATTAAATATTTGTTTGAATGGGTAGAGCTTTCCAAAATTTATTAATTATATCTAAAATGGAATAAAGGATTCACAATTTATTTAGACACAAAAAATAAAACTTTAAATTACCGATATATTTTGTTATTCGCCCAAGCGTCAAGGAATATACGACGGATACAACAGTGCAGCCCAGGAAACCCCAGCTTCCAGCAGAGACACCGCGATCATAACGATGTAAAGCTGTCGAATTTTCGGCTGCTAGAGGATTACCATGATAGATTGATTGACCAACAAAATCAGTTAAGAAATAGGCGAATGAATTATATGATAGCCAACTAAAGAAGCTTGCTATCCACAAAATGAGTAACTCCTTTGGCATAGTTTTAGTAAAATAATAAGTCTGATACAGATGATTCCAATTACTTATTTCTTTTGCAGTAATTGCTTGTAGTTTATCATCAGTTAAGTTATCTGTTATTTCCATCTGATCTTTTTGTATAACAGTCGATTGGATAGAACTATATGTCTTACAGTCCTTAGCAAACATGTTCAAATCGTCGCTACTTTTTCTACTTGATGATTTATGGATTAATACATCAGTAGAGCCAATGATGGTATATGGAACTTCTGCATAGCTTGTCGTCGCAATCAGTATCACTACGATACCTATTGAAGCTATCAAAATGAAAGCTACTTCAATTTGTCCACCAAATATTTTTACTAGTGGCGTTTCCTTCCAATTAATCCTATATTTAAAAAACATGAGTATACTGCTAGCTTAGTAATTCGTTAACTAATATAGTCTATCAATGTAACTTTAACTTATTGCTATTATTTTATCAGGATAAGATAATCTTCGATATAAAGTAGACATCATCATCGTATCAAAGTTCTAC